TGGTCCAGAAAAGGTTAAAAAGGGAAGAATTGTTGATTTTTTAAATTTACTAAGTGAAATTCATTTATTAAAAAATTAAATAGAAAATCTGTTTTCATAACAAGTCCATATGAAGCCATACTTGAAACATATAACATTATTAAAATATTTTTCTTAGTTTTATTTGTGCATATTTTGTAGAATTATGGGTTTCATTTTGGCACATTAGTATATGCATCTAACACACTTTATTTCTGCATCCCCAGTCCTCCCCTTATTCATGTCTTCCTTCCCTATTCCTGATTACCTTCCACTTACTCAATAGTCAGATATAATTTTTTTTAGATTTGAGGTCTTCTAGCTTGTGCCTCTAGAGTTGCTTGGATTATGGGCCTGTATAATTAACCTTCCCCTCTCCCACCTCCAAGTTTTAAGGGAAGAATTTTAACTTAAGAGTTTGTTGTCCAGGTACGGTGAAGTAAACATAGTCAGAGACAATTGCTGTTGAAAGATAGTTGATTACTCACAGTTTCAGAGCAGAGGAGTTATGTCATATTACACCATACAGAACTACCCAGGAACCATCAAGATACAGGTCCTGAAGCAGATAGAACCAGAGGGAGAGGCATGTGTCGAGCCTTTATTGTGGTATTCATGGAAGGAACGGGCTAGGCAGGGTAGGCAAGCTGAGAAAATTAAGGATTGAATAATTTGAGTAATTTCCCAGGGCTCTAGGATACAGGGATAGGTTTCAGTTGTCTAGTATTGTTAGGGTGTTTAAAACTGAGAGGAGTGTCCCTGACTGCAGGAGGCTGACTAAAATACTGTGGACTCCAAATTGGCTAGCTTTCAGGTGTGTTTCTGAAATTAGTTAACTCTCAGAGACGCAATCTCTTTCTCATTTTCCAGGATTCCAACATGTTGAAGCATCAGAAAGTGTAAAAACTGTTACTGATACAAAGACTAGGATTTTGACACACAGCTTTAGAATTAGTGGTAGAGTATGGGGGAAAAAGTGAGAGCATTCATTCCTGTTGCTGGCAAGAAGAGGCTTTTTTTTTTGATCTGGAAAGGAGTGTGAGTAGAAACATTTTAACTCACTTACCCAAGGTATTTTTGAAGCTTTTGTTGTGTTTTGTAGATTTCTCTTTCCATTATAGGCCAGATTCATTTTTAGTGTTAGACTTTGAGAAGTATTAATTGCACATTTTGTGCAACACACACACACACACACACATATATTTAAATATAATACGTGAACTTTACTGAGCAAATATGGCCCAAATCCTAGTTATTTGAAAGAGTAAATAAGTCACTTCAAAGCCTAAACAAATTTTCTGTTTTTTTTTTAATGCAATTATGGAAGCGAAACAATCAATTAAAAAACTTTCCTTATTCATTTAGAAACACTTGTTCTGTAATTATAATACAATAAAAAACTCACTTTGACCTCTAGTTCCCTATTTAGTAAAAATGGTTCTAATTTGGCTAATTGCAAATAAATTATGATCAATTTAAAATTTTAGCTTGATTTTTGACTCAGGATTTATTGTTTGTTATGCTTTGTATCCAGCATAGCAGTATAAAACTTGATTAAAAGTGATAGTTCTCACTGTCCTATTTTTGGATTAAGGAAATCACAAGGAACCACGTATTAGCTTTTGTAAATGTACTTTGGTTCATTGTTTAACACCACACCTACCTGTCTGGGCACAGATGTAAGAATGGAAGCCATCACAGCCATGAGCTCCTCCAGAGTCTGAATCTATTTTTAGCAAAGAATCAGGAAAGGGATAGTTTAGACTATATAAGGGTTAGTGTCTGATTATGTAGAATACCAGGAGGTAAGCCTTTTTTTCTTTTTTGTGACCAAGGTGAGCATAAAGAGGACATGATGTCCAGGAAGATCATGGTGGTGAGTTTGAGGGGAAAGGTCAGTTATACCCTGAGATCTGCTTTCTACTCTTCCCTCTGGCCATGGTGGTATAGGTCCCATTAAGTGGTAAGTTTATCAAAAACACTCAAATCTCTGGGCATATTCTAACCCCTGGAGCAGTAATTCTTAATGGGAGGTAACATTTGTCATTTGACACTTTTGATCATTACTAGTGATTGAGCTAGTGGCATTTAGTGGATAGAAGCCAGGCATGCTGTTCCATCTTGCAACCTAAGACAGTCTTTTTCACAAAGAATGGTCCTGTCCAAACTATTATTAATGCCATAGTAGAGAACCTCAGTCTTGGAGAAAGAGTATAAGGAGCTCCAAATTCTTTCTGATTTGTGAGAGGCATCTAGACTTTATGGAACTTTTGGGCATCTTTAAGAACTTTGTCATTAGGGGAATTGAACAAAAGTTATCACAGGAGGAGATCTGGAAAGAGTGGTGGTCATCTAGAAGCAGTGAAGGAGTTAGGGACAGCCAATAAAGAGAGGAAAAGAACTTTACAGAGATTGGCATTCTGCTTTTAATCATCAATAGAAATCTGATATTAAATTAACTATACAACTTGTAGTTGGGGGGATGGGAAGGAAAAACTGGGAGAGAGCAAGGGAAGTGGTAACTTGTCCAAAAAGAAATTTAATTATTGCCTAACTTATGTAACTGTAACTCCTCTATACATCACCTTTACAATAACAGTAAAAAAAAGGTAACAAAATATATTGAGCTCAAAAAAAAAAAGAGTATGATATTAAGTGAAGTTATTATTAAAAGGAAGCTTACAAAACACTGTAGTCTGATGAAATAACATGTTGGCCAAAGCCTTATTCTGTTGAGGCTTAAAGTGGTACTTCTTTAAATAGAAAACTAACCAAGTGAATACATTGCATTATATTTTATGTTAATTTTTTGATCAATGTGAATTTTAAAACATTCTACAAATTTCTGATTTTGTTGATATATACTCCATTAAAATAACTTTAATTTTTAGATTATCCTCATATGCCAAAAATTGAGTATATTTTATTTCTAAATTTTACATTAGTTCAGCTCATTTAAGTATTTAAAAAAAATTCTTGTATTTTTTTGGAGGTTACCATTTGTGTTTTCTCAGTAAGAAAAGGGGAATAAATTGAAAATCATCAACTTTAAAGTCCATTAGACAATTAAAGTCACAGAGGAGGCTGCTGGCCCTGAATTTTGAGAAATAAACAGGCATATATTGAGATTTATAAGTGAATATTGCAAAAGAATTGTGTGGTTTTTAAAAAAGCATGCTTTTCATATTCACCTTTCAACAAAAACTGCAGTGCATGTTAAAACACAGTTTGAAGAAACTGTGAAACCAGAAATGAAGAGCAACTATGATTATGTGTTAAGAGGCCCAAATGTAAAAAAGATAATTATTGACAGGTAAATAATATATATAGACGAATGGAAAGTTTGAGGAAATAGTAGAAATTTTAAAAAACACAAAAATAATAGAAATAACAAAAACAGACATTATGAATGCTTTTAATGGACTTTTTGATGAACTCATCAAAAATTAAATTTCGAAAAAAGAATCTGTGAACTTGAAGAAATATCAATAGAGACTTTTAAAACTAAAATTGGAAGAGCAAAAAGACTGAAGAAACAGATCAGAATATCCAAGAATTGTGGGACAGTTTAAAAAAGTATAATATGTGTATAATGGGAATTCTAGAAGGAAAAGATAAAGGAACAGAAGAATATTTGAAATAATGCCTGACATTTTTCCAAAATTAATGATAGACATCAAACCTTAGATCTAGGTAGACCAGTTAATAGTAAGCAGGCAAATCCTAAAACCTATTCTTATGCATATCATATTCAAACTGCAGAAAAATAAAAACAAAGAATTTTGATAGAGGTTGAGGCCCAGCTTTTATTGGCTTTAAAAAGAAGTAGACGACTTTCTTGACCCACAGCTGTAACTTCTATATTTAAGGCTACCCCAGTGGACAGAGTGAGTTCTGTGTTTCATGATGGGGAGAGATCTGCTCCAAGGATTAGGAAAAACTCTAAAATGAAAATTTGATGAAGCTAGCTAGCTTCTACCCAGCTTCACAGATGTTAATAATGTACCTTACCGTGTCCGTTCCCTCTCTTGCCTTACTTTATATATTAAATATTCCAGCACACACAAAAAGCCCTTTGGGCTCCCATTCTCCCTCCTTCTTTTCCCCTCTCTTTTGTTCCTTATTTTCCCTCCTTCCTTCCCTCCCTTCTTCCCTCCCTCTTTTCCTTCCTCTCTTCCATCCTTCATTTCTTCTTTTCTGTTTGAGGTTGAGATTAAGCTGTTACCAGAGCCCTGGAGAGGAACAATCTGACTCTTAAGTGTCACTTATAGGTTGTCAGCTTGATGGGACAACCCCAGTTGGGGAGCAGGTACCCTATCACATCCCAATAATCCCTCTGATTCCATCCCCTCCCATCTTAATACTCCATGTTTTGCCATCTGTGTTAATCAGCTTTCATTCATTACTTTGAAACACTTGAGATAACTCTAAAGATAATTGGTTTTGGTTCACAATTTTGGAAGTTGTAGTCCATGATCACACAGAGCCATTGTTTGGGCCTTTGGCCAGGAGCTTTTGGTAGAAGTAAGTGGTGGAACAAAACTGATTATTTCATAAGCCAGGAAACAAAAAGAGAGAGAAAGATAGAATCCAATCTCCACTGAGGACATATACCAATGATCTAAGGGCTTCTCATCAGACTCCACCTTTTAAAGTTTCATCAAACCTCCCAGTAACTTCATCTTGGCTAACAAGTGGGCTTATTGACCTTTGGAGGTACTTAACTAAATCATAGTGGCTGCTAACTTGGTCATCAAGAGACTGCAGTGGACTCATTTCTGGAAACAAGCTAGATAACTCCTATTATAGTCACCGTTATGATACCCCACAATTTTTCTGGGCCAAAGGTACATTGGCCCTGGGAGAGCCTGGGAGTTATCCTCTCTGATGACCGGATCACTGCCTTTTAATGGGCAGAATATTGCAGCAGTATAGACACAGTTACTGAAGATTATAATATGTTTCCTTTTATGTGTCTACAGAGTATGAAAACATTAAAGATATTTCTAATCCCCAATCCTAGTGAGAGAGACACTTCATAGGAAATCCCAGGAACCCAGGGACAAAGGTAGGTCATGAAGTCGAACTGAAACTGCATTGAACCCACTCCCTGACTACCTTGACCCCTGAGCTGAATCTGTGTTGTTTATCAACTGAAAATGGCTTGAGATTTTGGACTCATTTGTAGTCCAGCTCTCAGCTCCTGGTCTATACAATACCATAGCTGGAGAGCTACACTGTCAGCTGAAGCTTTGTCTTTAGCAGACTCTACCTTTGAAGCTACCATCCCTGCAGAGACTAGGCATTCTGCTAGTCCAAAGTAGCTAGCCTTCCATTCCATTCTCACCTTTGTTTTCTCCCCTAACAGGAAGTCAGAATAATGGGGAGAATCAGGATTCAGGCAGAAAGCCAGCTGAACAAAGTGTCTGCTAGATCTCCAGCTGGTTGGAGTGGGAGACCACCCTCCTTTAGGATAGCCTCACAAGCATAGCCCACAGCATGAGCAGCAGTGGTGGAACCCCAGACAGAACCAACTGCCTCAAGGCTTATCCTCCAGAAAAACTGCTTTCATGCTGGGCAGCTCTGATCAGGACCATCAGAATTTGCCTGTCCCTCTAGCTACAGCAAAAATTGGCAGGAGCCACTGGGAGGTTTCTTACTTTTATCCACAGACATCTGTTTCAAGTCTGTTGGAAAGATCAAGCATGTAGCTGAATACAGTGGAGCCAGTCAAACATCCTGTGGTACACTGCAGAGGGAAGAATGAATGTGGGAAGTTCAAACTGTGGCCTTGTATTTCATATGGAGCAGGACTGTAGACATAGCAGAAAGATGAGTAGGTTTGACATCTAAAGTAGGTTTGACATCAATATTCCCTAAGGGAAAAGAATACTATAGAAATGTGAATAAGCAAGTGAGAAGCTGGGGACAATATTTATGGAGATGAAGGGTTTGTATTCTTACCACAGGTCTTAAAAATAATGAAACATAAATTCCACAAAGAGATGTAAAAGGCCAAGAAAGTAGAATTCATGCTCATAATGCAAGTAAAAATGATTTTTCTTGGCTGCTGCAGCCACTTTATTCCCAGAGCCAACTTGCATGAGTAACAATACCACCATTACTTCAAACTGTTGTAGGAATCATAGTCCTTTTTACATGTACCAAAACTCATACTCAACAATGAGCTCTGGGTTGCAGAGGAAGATTTACTGTTTGCACCTGTCTGTAAGGCTTTGTTACAAATTAATCGCATACAGAAGTGCTACTTAAAAAATCTTTTTTTTTTGGATCTGGTCATGGGGCCTAAACTCTGGGCCTGGGTGCTGTCCCTCAGCTCTTCAGCTCAAGGCTAGTGCTCTACCACTTGAGCCACAGCGCCACTTCCGGCTTTTTTCTTTTTGCTTATGTGGTGCTGAGGAATCGAACCCAGGGCCTCAGGCATGCAAGGCAAGCACTCTACCACTGAGCCGCCTTCCCAGCCTGACTACTTAAAAATCTTTTGATTTTTCACTAGCAATGAGCCTTCTTAATTGATTAGATGGGGTTAATATGTTAGGTTGGGCTTTATTTTAAAACAATTTTTTTGTTGTTGTTGTGAGTCCTGCTATACCTGAGCTTACTCCCCTCCCCCTCCCTCGCCAAGCCTAGCACTCACCTTTTGAGAGCTCAAGAATCTCATGAACTTTCCTGCCCAGGGAGGCTTTGAAATGTGATCCTCAGATCTCAGTCTCCTGAGTTGGTAGGATTTATGTGTGAGCCACCAGAGCTCTGCTCAAAGCATTTTTAAAAAAAGTTTTTTTTTTTTTTGTGATACTGGGACTTGAACTTAGGGCCCTCAAAAAGGGTTATACTTTTGGCCCTTTTTGTGTCTTAGTTTTTGAATAGGGTGTCATGTTTATATCTGGCCAGTCCTTCACAGTTTTCTTCCTATTTATGCTTTCTACATAGCTGGGATGACAAGCACTCACCATTATGTTTAGCATTTATTGGTTGAGATGCAGGTCTGATGAACTTTTTGCACAGGCTGGCCTTCAACTGCATTTCTCCCATCAGCCACATCCTGAGTAGGATTAGAGATGTGAGCCACCAGATCTAGCTCTAAAGTGTTATTTCTGGTAACTTTTTATTTTGAGATAATTACATAATTACTGAAAACTTTCTGGGATTAACAGTAACTTTTTATTTTGGCAAATAACAACTCCTACAAACCATTTATTTAACCAGACCCACCAATTATTTTCTTTTTTGCCTCACTTACCTTATCATTCTTCTCATCTATTTGTCTATTTTCCCCAGTATTTGAAATAAGATGCAAACATCACTTCTTCAGTAACTAAATACTTCAGTATGTAGTTATTAAGAACAGTGTCCATAATGCTACTGTATAGTTACTAGGAAAATTTGACAATGATACCATACTATTGAATTCAAAGACTAAGGTCCATGCTGTTTAATGAAAAGGTCAAAGAAGACAAAGGTTATTCCAAATATTTTATTAGAGAAAAGTTTTCCTGTCTTAGAATTTATTCAGAATCATATATTATGCTTAGTTGTAATGTTCTTTAACATCAGTGCTTCAGCCTTTTAAAAGTGCTTGGGTCTTTTATATTTTTTTTCTTGACCTTAATAGAATGTCTGTCACAAAGAATGAGGATGATTTTTGTTAGATTTTGGCTAATTTGGGCAGGAATTTATCAGAAGTGATGTTAGATCCCTTTCACTGAATCATATCAAGAAACAAATGATATCTATTTCAAAATTGCAGATTTTATTTTATTTTATTTTTTTTTTTGGGGGGGGTCGGTCGTGGGGCCTGAACTCTGGGCCTGGATGCTGTCCCTCAGCTCTTCAGTTCAAGGCTAGCACTCTACCACTTGAGCCTCAGCGCCACTTCCGGCTTTTTTTTTTCTTTTTGCTTATGTGGTGCTGGGGAATCGAACCCAGGGCCTCCTGCATGCAAGGCAAGCACTCTACCACTGAGCCACCTTCCCAGCCCCAAAATTGCAGATTTTAATTTTAATCATTTGTTAATGGTGATATATGTTAAGCTCTTCTTTTTCAAAATAATTATTTCCCCTTTGATGTTAATTTATAGGGAGATATTCTGAGATTATGTGAATATCTTTTGTTTTAAATCATACACTTACTAGTTTTAGCACAAACTGATAATTTTTATTAGTATTTCTCTACGTATTAGTGGACATTTTATATTAAGGGGCACTGCAGTAGTGAATTCTATATATTTATGAATATAAAGCTAAATGTTTCAGACTTATTTTGTATATACCCTACTTTTACCTTGGAGACAGCCTTTTCCAAAGGCTTTGTTTCTTTTTTATTGGGTAATGGTCATTAGAATTCATGGCCATTATTGCTTCTCTTAGTGTCCTTCCAATCTGTCTAATCAGTCTCTATGTTGTAGACGAAGGAGAGATCTACTTTATCCCTGTTTAGTTCTCAGATGGGCTTCTTGTCTATATTAACTAAGTGAATATAGGAGCGTACTAACAAAAGCACGTTTTATCCATTTTTACATGTACATGTGGAATGAAGGCCAAAGAAATGACCACTGGTTGATACCCGCTTTTTCAACAAGGAACAATAAATCTATAAAGGAATAACAAGACAAATGGCTATATAGACTAGGATTATAACATTTAGGGATGTTACTAATAGATATATGGAGCACAAGGAGAGAATCTAATGGAAGGTAAGTGTTACTTTCAAGTGCTTATTTAGGTTTATGGCAGCCAAAATTAGCAGTAACTGGTGATTGTGGTGATTGTGATATACCTCCAGAAATAATTTTTATGGATTATTGCATGTAGGGAAATTCATGCTGAATGACCCTTTCTAAATTTACAGAACTGCAAATGATTTTAACTTAAAATAATCACCATATCCATTTGTTACATTTTGAGATGTCAGATTCATAAGGATCTTTCTTCCTCCCCTCCTTCCTTATCTGTGTCTGTTATATCTGTTACATATTAGGTGTAAAAAACTGAATTTATCTTTTACTGAGTCTCTTCAAATCTTTTACTCATTGAAATAATTGTATTATTTGTTTTATTATCAAAGCTTTATCTGCAACAAGGTAATGGCTATAGTCACCTATAGTTTTGACATTGCAATTAATGTTTTTCTCTCGCTTTCTTCTATCTTTTTCCTTCTCTCCCTCCATTGTTCTTTTCTCTCTTTTACTTTTATTTTATCCTTATGTGGATATCTAGTTGTGTGAATGTTATTTGGTGAGAATATTTTTCTTTCCCACTGAATGGCTTTGGTGACTTTATGAAAAGTCAAGTGAACATATAAGTGTTTTCCCATTTCTTGAATTTATTATGTTCTAGTTTATGTGCTAGTTTATCCTCATACTAGCAACATACTGTCTTAATTACTGTAGATTTGTATTATGTCTTGAATTTATGTACTTTGTCCTATCTTAAAATTGTTCTATTTTATATGAATAGCTATAGGAGTTTTAGAATCACCTTGCCAAAAATCTCAGTATAAACTTGGATGAATTTAAAGATCAGTGGAGGAGAACTGGTATTTTAACAACATTGAGTCTTCTGATCCATGGACATGATATAGATCTTCGCTTATTTAGGTTTTTATGATCTCTGCAATATTTGTAGTTTTTACAATAGAAGTTTTGAGCATTTTAAAATTAAGTGCATCTTAAGTATTTTTTCTTTTATGATGGTATTTTCAAATAGAATTAAAAGTTTAAAAAAAAAATTTTCAGGCTTTGCTACTAACATACATAAAACTACTAATTTATATATATTGACCTGAACATTAAGCTACTGCTAAATTCAGTTGTTGCTATTAGTTGTTTAGTAGATTTCCCATGATTTTCTGTGTGAAAAAAAAATCACATAGTCTACAAATATAAAATGCTCATCTAGGGAATGTCTTTGATATCTTTCGACTTTTGTTGAGAGACAGCCTTGTCTTCTTACAAACAATCTTTTTTCATTATCAAGGATATGATCATTAAAATGAGGCTCCTATGTTCAATGTTGTGTCACCCACTCTACTTTTTTGGAATGAGAGTTTTAAATTATGAATAAAGATTGCATCTGTCAAAGTTTTTTATTCCCTACATCTAGTTAGGTATTAAATATACCCTTCATCTTTTGGTATGAGTTACGTGATTCCTTTTTGAAAGTTAAGAGTTGGTCTTATGTGTGGGTAAAACCTTCTTAGTCATAATGTCTTCTAAAATCTTAGACGGTTACTGTAATTTCTTTCTTAAGTATATGACAATTCTTCAGTGAAATCATCTAGGCCTGGAGGATGATGATCAATAGATATGAAACTATTGAGTTTTTCACTTCATTTTGTTTAATTTTTTTAGCTTTTCCTTTCAAGAAAATATTTATTGAAGTTATAAAAATCATTTCAAATAATTATTCAATTATTCATAACATTCCTTTATTTCATTGTCCTTGGTAACTGTAATTAACCCTACTCACATTATGAAATTAATGATTTCTGCCTGCCTGCCTTCTTTCTTCTCTTTCTTTTTTCTTTCTCTCTCTCTCTCACTCATTCTTTTTTCCTTTCTTTCTTTAATTTGTGCTGGTCTGAGGCTTAAACTCAGGGTTTGGGCACTATCCTTGAGCTTTTGTGCTCAAGGCCAGCTAGCTAGCCTTTTGCTACCACTTGAACCACAGCTCAACTTTTGGCTCTTTTGGTGCTTAATATTCGGTGATACTTTTCTAACAGACTTTCCTGCTCAGGCTGGCTTTGAACCACAGTCCTCAGATCTCAGCCTCCTGAGTAGCTAGGATTATAGAAATGAGCCACTGTATCTGTATGTTCTTTTCATTTTTAAAACAGTTTTGTATGCTTGGTCTACTGGCTCATACCTATAATCCTATCTCCTCATTAGGCTGAGATCTAGAGGATTATGGTTTGAAACCAGCCAGGGCAGAAAAATCTACACCAGCAAAAAGTCTGGGCTAGAAATGTGAGCTTGAGTAGAATGCCAGTTGTGAGCAAGCAAGCCACACAAGAGCATGAGGTCTTAAATTCAAAATCTTGTGCTTGCATACAAACACCCACACCCATGTGCACGCGTGCAGGCACACACACACACACACACACACACACACACACACACACACGCGCGCGCGCACACACACACACACGCGCACACACACACATACACACACACAGTGTTTTGCTAAGGCTTATTTGATAAGTTTTTAGTGATCAGGTATGGGATTTAATTTTGTTTCCTCTTTTAGTTTCTATTTTATTGATTTGCACTGTATGTTATTTTTCTTACATTTTCCATTTATTTCTTTTACATGCTCCCCTCTTTACTTTGGTTTTATTTAGCTTTCTTTTTTCTAGTTTCTTCAGGTAGAAATTTGGGTTATTAGTTTTATTCATTTCTCCCCTCCCCCTTCCCTGTGTAACCCTTACACAGACCCTCACCCTAACCCTCACCCTAACCCTAACCCTAACACTCACCCTCACCCTCACCCTAACACGAATCCTAACCCTAACCCTAACCCTAACCCTCACACTAACCTTCACCCTCACCCTCACCCTAACCCTCACCTATGAGTTTTACCTATAAGTCTTACCTATGAGTTTTACTATGTATTCCAGGCAGTTCTCCTGCTCTGCTTCTAGATTACTGGTATTAACAAGTATATACTAGTAAGCTTTCTAAGCACTGCTTTAGTGGCATCTCAGAAATTGTGGGTTTTTTTTTTTTTAATATCATTCAGTTTAAAGTATTTTCTTCCTGATTTCTTCTTAAACTGCTATTGGGAAGCATGTTCTTGAGTACTAGATGTGGTAGTGTATACTTGTAGTCCTAGCATTAGGGAGGCTGAGGTAGGAGGATTGTGAGTTTCAGGGTAGCCTGGGCTGCATAGCAAGTTTGAGGCCAGCTTGTGATACAGAGTGAGACCCTGTGTCAAAGACAAAACAGAGTAAAAAGAAAAATATTGAATTTCCAAATACTTGGGTATACTTTTAAATGTTTTATTGTTTTTGCTAACTGAATTTTATGTAGTATTTGTAATTCAATGTATTTATATGATGTCCTGGCATAAGAGTTGTCTTAGTGAACATTCCATGTGCCCTTGAAAAAGAGATCCATAAATGTCAAGTTGGTCAAATGAAGATTATTCATCTTGTCCATCTTTTATCTTGGTGACTTTTTGTTTACTCTAGTTATAAGTATTAAGAGGGATATTAAAATATCTAACTATGATTATAGATTTATCCTCTTTCTCCTACCTATATTTCATTCGTTGTAGAGCTCTTTTAAAATTTAGTGTAAGTACTGGGTTCTTGTACCTTTCTTGATGAGCTCATCCTTTCATCGTTGTAACATCTCCTTCTAAGTTTCCATGTGATGTTCCTTCCCTTTCAGATGTCAGAACTCTTTTCCTCCCATCTATCCCCCTTGCATCCCTTCCCCTCTCCTTTAAAGAAAGAAAACAAAACCCCTATGCTCACAGTTGCCAGGGACCTGTGCTTGCTATATGATCTTTCTAACGTTTGAACCAGTCCTTTTGTTTTTTCTTTTTTCCCTTTTAGTGTTTTCTTGTTGTTGTTGTTTTGAGATGGGGTCTTGTTTTCCCTCAGACCCAATACTCCTATCTATACTTGTATAGTTAGGACTACAGATGAGTCCCACCATTCCCAGCTAATTTTTTGAGGTGAGTGTCACTGACTTCCTGCTTATGCTGTCTTTACGTGAGGATCTTTTTGATCTTTGCCTTTTAAGAAGCTGTGATTACACATATGAGCCCCTGTGTCCCTTCTCCATTCATTCCTTTTTTAATGCCAAATAATATTCCATTGTATAGCTATACCACCTTTTATTTATCTGTTTATTAATTGATGGCCTATTTGGTTGATTCCATTTTGGATCTGTTAATATTTCACGAATATACAGATTTTAGTGAGGATACATGTTTTTCTTTGAGTATCTCTAAGAGTAGAATTGATGGCTCATATGGTTACTCTATATTTAACTTTTTAAGGAGCTGCTAAACTGTTTTCTAAAGTGGTTGGATCTTTTGTATATTACCATCACCAATATGCAACCTTCCAATTTCATTATATCCTTGCCAACACAAGATTACATGTTTTTTGATTATAGCCATCTGAGTATGGATGTAGAGTGGCATCCTATTGTATTTCTAATTTGCCTTTAGACATTTGCTAATTATTTTAGGCCTTTTCTCATGTGCTGTTTGTCACTTCTGTCTTTTATGGAGAAGTGTCTGTTCAGGTTCTCTGCCTATGTCCAAATTGGATGATTTATCTTTATCATTGATTTCTAAAAGTTCATTATGTACCTAAATAATCTCTTACTGCATTATTCACAGATACTTTCTTCTCTTCAGTGGGGTTTCTTTTCAGTTTTTAGGTGGGGTCTTTGAAGAACAAAGTCCAGTTAATATTTTTTCTTCATCGCTTGCATTTTAGGATTCTCAAAGATGAGTTTGCCTTAACCCAAGCTCACATTTGTTATGTTTTCTTCAAATAGTTTTATAATCTTAACTTGACACGTGTAAGTCTCCAATCCACTTGCAGTTATTTTTTATGAGTAGGGGAAGGAGAGGTCTATCTCTAATCTTTTTAATTTTTTTTTTTTTCTGGAGGGGGTGATAGAATTCAGTGGCTCTATATTTTAGGCAAGTGCTCTACCAGTCACCTCCACTCTTTTCCATGTGACTATTGGATTATCCCAACATTATTTATTGAAAACATTATTTTTCTATTTTCTAAAGCTCAGTTGACATTATGGATCATTAAAGTAAGTAAATAAGTTTAATTTTTGGAGTTGCTCAATTTTATCAACTTGATCTGTATGACTGTTCATATGCCAGTGTTCCTTTTCTTGATTGCATACCTTTGTATCAGTTTAAAATCTCTTTCCAGAGTGTTCTGGTAATTCAGGATGCTTTTCATCCATATTAAATCTTCAGAGTAGTGAAACAACCAGTTGGGATTTGGGATAGGTTTTGTGTTGAATTTCCAACTCTGTAATATTTTAACAATATTAGGTTTTGCTACCCATATCTTTCTGTTTATTCCTTTCAACAATGTTTTGTAGTTTTCAGAGTACAAATTTAGTATTTCTTTTGAAAAGTTTAATCCTGAATGTTTGTCTTGGTGCTGTATGATATTCCTATGTAGTTACCTCTGTTCTATCCTATTTAAGTTATAATGTTCCTTTGATGTATAGACATCCAAAAATTTCATTTCTTTCATTTGATACAGCAAGCTTATTTTGACAAATACTTTATACCAAGCACTGGGAATATTGAATTGATTTGTTATTGTTATTATTTTTTTGGTGGAACTGGGGTTTGAACTCAGAGCCAGATGTTTGTTAGACAGGTGCTCTACTATGTGAGCTATGACTCCAGTCCTTTTTTATTTACTTTTCTGATAGGATGTTATGTTTTTGCCTAAGCTGACTTGGACTTAATCATCCTATTCAGGCTTCCTTCATATCTAAGATGACAGTTGCACATCATGATGCCCAACTTATTTATTGACTTTTTGTTAACTTGTACTAACTTTTTGTACAAGCTGGCTTTTAACAACTAGCCTCCTGATCTCTACCTCCTCAGTATTTCGGATTACAGAAAGGAGATTTTTATGCTTTGTCCTAGAATTGATTAAATCTCATATGTTTTCAAAGAGGAGACTTATTTAAGATTTCACATACTGTTTTACAATTGTGCAGCAGAAACCCAGTAGAAGGAGGGATTAGAGACTGTCTTAGAGAAGATAACACTTAAGATTGGCCCCAAAGGTTGGGAAAATATTAACAGTTTCTATTTAGTGGAAAGAAGGTAAGTGAAATCATATATAAATGTACTTGATAGTGTAAAAGAGGTAAGTGGACTTACGTGGATAAAATAAGAAAAGTGCTAAAAGAGTTTAGTTCTGACAGAACTGAGGGCCTTGCCAGGCAAATGCTCCACTGCTTGAGCTATGCTATGTTTGAATTTAAAGGTAAGCTTTTAGTGGGCATTGGAGACCACTAGGGAGTGAGTGTCATAGTATTTTTTTTTCTTTAAAGCAGGGATGAATGATTTTAGGTGTTCCTTATTGGAGAACCAACTGACATTTGCCAAGGGTTGAGGGGTACAAGTACCGCAGTAATCTATTCGAAGACTTTTTCAGTATCCAAGGCTAGAAAAATCAAGATGATAGCTGTAAAAGTAATTGTAGGCTGTGTGGTCATGATTAAGTTGTTGGCCATGTCTTCAGAGCCTTTTCTAGAAAAGATTGGGCTGTTGTCTCTAGGGTCAAACCCCTGGTTTTCTAATCACATGTCTGTTCTGGCATAGTAAGACAAAAGTCCATCATGTTGTTCTAAACTCATGTGGTTTTATGGGCTTGAAGATATGTAGGAAAACTCCAAGAATTTTAATTTTCCCACCCAGAAGTCAAAGCACAGTCAAATTCTTGGTTATATAGGACAGTTTAATCTCTTTTAAGGCCCTATTTTACATTCACGTCTGTGAATGTCTTCCCTTTTTTTCCCTCCCTCTCTCTCTTCCTACCTTTCATCTATATCTATTCCAGGGTAGTTAACGCAGGGCTTGTGACTCTACCTCTTGAGCTGTTTCCAGTCTGGTATTTTTCTGGTCAATTGAAGATGGAGTCTCAGACTTCTCTGCATCTACTGTCTTAGAACTACAGTCTTAGAACTACAGTCCTCCAAGGTCTTAGCGTCCTGAGTAGCTAGGAATATACTCCTGAGTCTCTGGCACCTGGGTTAATCTGCTGTTTCTTGATGATTGATTTTTAGACATTAGCTGTTAATCTAGAAGAGAAAAAAAGTCATCTCTTCTTTTTCTTCCCTGTTCTCCAACAAATATATGCCTTTTGTGGCAGTACAAGTTTGGTTAAACCAATGATCAGATCCTACTTTATTATGACAATATAAATCTTGTTTCTTTTGATTTTTTTTGAAGATTTCAAAAGCCCTTATTTTTGTACTGATTTTCTTTCATTGTACTTTTTACTTTTAGAGGTAATAGTTCTCTCATTAAAAAAAAATGGATAATTTTCCATTGTGTTTTATACTTTTCTGTTATCTGCTGTATTAGTTTGCTAGTGCTGTCATGACAAAATATTACAGATGAGGGCTTACACAAATTTATTTGCTTATAGTTCTGGAGGTTTATGTTTGATATCAAGGTGTGATAGGGTTTCTTTGCCTTGCAGATGGCCATTTTCTTCCTGTGTCTTCACATGGTATCCATTTGTGTGTTGACTCTTCTCCTTTTACAAGAACACTAGTCACTTTGGTGTCACAAGAACACCCACACTAGTGACCTAATTTTATCTTTATTACCTGTTTAAAAGTTCTGTTTCCAAATATAGCCATATACTGAAATAGCAGACTTTAAGACTTTAGCATACAGACTTTGGTGAGGGGCAGGGGAAGAGCACAGTTCAGCCCATGTAATACCTCTTGCACTGGATTGTACTTGTCTGTATTCCATCTTTGTCTTCCATCTTTTTCATGATTATCCTGTAGTCTTTCCTGATGTGATTTAAATCAGTTGGTGTTGAGCAGTTTGTTTGCAAGTAGCTTTTCCATCAGGTGATAAAGGCATGTGGGCCATGGGAAAACTCTGACCACTCATGAGGGACTTGTGTTTTTTTTTCTTATTTTATTTTTCAACAGTACTAACTACTGTCCTTAGTAAAATGTGTTCAGTATATGTTGGCTGATGGGCTGACAGCAAAAAACAAAAATCCTGAGATTGTTCTATGCTGGTACTGTCTATCTGGCATTCGTATATTTTCATTTAGTGCTCTTCCCAGTTGGCACTGATCCTTTTTATTTTCTTCTAACAGATTGCTTCTATAATTAGATCACTGATTTCCTGCATAAAGCACAATGTCTCGATCCCGACAGCCCCCACTTGTGACAGGCATCTCTCCAAATGAAGGGATCCCATGGACGAAGGTGACAATAAGAGGGGAGAATTTGGGTGTTGGTCCCACTGACCTTATAGGTAAGATGAACACTCTGCCTCTGGGACAGAGTTTTATGTTGGTATGTTGAGGTGCAAGATACATGATTTTGAAGTAGTCAAAGTGACAAGAAAGCTTTATTGTATATGTTGTCTGATACTTCTCTGAAAATTATTATTTTATCAAATTTTTCAATACGGTTATTCAAACCCATTTTTCAGAAAGATTGCCACCATCCAGATTTATATCCATTTCCTCTATTTTGATCTTAGATTGCTAAAGATTGGCCTTTGATTTTGAAATTACAAATAGGTGCCAGGCATAGTTGGGTAAGAGCAAGTTCTAAGTATAAATTTATAGTCCTTACAGTCATTTGTGTGTGAAATATAAATGAGGATATAGAGATAACATTCAGAATTAGCAAGTTAGTGACACTCTTATCTCACTCTTATCTCAATGAAAATTTGAGTATGATAATGTGTGCCTGTCATTCCAGCTATGTAGGAAGCATGATTTTGGCCCAGGCTGGTCTGTGTATAAACATGTTCTATTAAAACAACAACAACAGCTACAAAAACTAAAGCAAAAAGTGCTAAGGGCATGGTTCAAGTGGTTGCACATAGTTGAACATAGTGGTTATACATAGTAATTGCAAGGCTCTGAATATTAAGCCCTAATACTGCCAGTTTCATTTTTAATAACTAATTGATGATTATAAGAAATGATGTCAAATAAGAAATATTAAAATAATTTTGAATTATGAATGCATTAAAAATATAATAAAACTTAATCCTAAAGGAACTTTTAATACTGTTAATTAGGAAAACAAATTTCTTCTAGGATCAGGAATTTATTATTTCAAACCATATAAATACATACTGAGGTACTAAGGTTTGCATTCTTGGTCAACTTCCTTGCTTTGGGCTGGGATTTTACCGCTTGAGCCACACCTCTAGCTAAGCATTTTTCAGGTTAATTGGAGATGGAATCTCACAGACCTTTCTACTCGAGTTGGCTTTGAATTGAGATTCTGAGTAATTCAGATTTAAACTGAGTAGCTAGTATTATAGATGTGAGTCAAGTGCCTATTTAAATATGTCTTAAAAATCCCTTAATGGTTATTATAATCTTGTTACTAAATAGTGCTTTTCGTGCTAACAAAAGATGACTTGAATCTCTCCCTCCATTGTCAAACTAAATTTGTCATCAATTGAGCTGTTTCTGTTATCTGAGCAAGAAAAAAAAAAAGAAATTTAATTTGCCTAATTTGCTGAGTAATGTGGAAAGTTAAATAATGAGAAAAGAAAGTGTAAAGTGGTAGACCACATACATTCTAATTTATTTTTCCATAAATATTTATTATATTGACCTCTGTTTTGTGAAAGTAGAAAATTTGCAAAAGAATTAAATTAGAGGACGGGATGGTATCAGTGTGTTGTCATTTGTGTTCCACCTGGGGTGATACCTTACTGTCTCTCATTTCCTTATTGTTAAATTTTAACTCACATGCTAAGGGAGAAAGACTTAAGGAACCTGAGGTGGTCTTTTGGGAGTGCTGGTTTACTGGAAGAGCTCATCAGTGGAAAAGTAGTATAGCAACACTTGGGTAGGAAAACATCACAATTTTAGCTACCTTTAAAGGAAATGGATGATAATCCAGTAATGTTGAGAACGTTGTGTTAAATTTACCACACTCTACACAAAACTTACAATAAATAAAATAGTTACCTTAGTTCATTTTATAACACTGTTTATAAATAATTACTTGAACACTAGAAAAAGCATGTACTACTCTTTTTAGGAAGATGATGAATATGTTTTAGGGAATGATCTATAAATCTATGAATACATTTACAAATCCTGTATCAGTAACTTAAATTAAGTTCTGACAGTAGCAGTATGTTTTTCTTCCAACAGTTCTCCTAGCCTAATTAATCTGGAATGCCTAGGCATTTTCTATTGTATTCTAATTTTACTATATCTAAAAACATCACAGAAAAACATCACAGAAAAAAGATTGGAAAACAGCAAAGCTAAAGGTACATTTACTAGTATCATTGAGTATATTCTCTAATAAAAATAGCTATCAAGCAAATGCTTAAGAATTTTCTTCCATGTAGTAGCCATGTTTAAGGGCTTCTTGTTATGTTGAACCTTGTTGAATGCATACTTTTGCTTTCAGGTTTGACTATTTGTGGACATAATTGCCTCCTAACAGCAGAGTGGATGTCTGCAAGTAAAATAGTATGTCGAGTGGGACAAGCCAAAAATGACAAAGGAGATATTATTGTCACAACTAAATCTGGTGGCAAAGGAACTTCAACTGTTTCTTTCAAGTTACTCAAGCCCGAAAAGATAGGTAAAACTCTTTATGACTTTATTGGTTTATTTTTTATATTTTAAACATGCTAGATTTCTATAAAACTCAATGACTCTCATGTTTCATTAACTTAGGTTTAGAAAATACTGGGATGTTGGTTAGAATTTGCTTTATTTTTGATAAGGCAGTTTGCTGAGCCAATAGTCAATCAGGCCTAAGGAGTATGATCATAAAGAACTATCCTTGTAGGCAGGCTATTAAATAGATTAGTTTTTTGTTATGTGTTGGTACTGAGTCTTGGACTCAGGATCCTATGTGCTATCCCTTAGCTTCATTGCTCAAGGCTGGCTACCATTTGAGCTACAACACCATGTATGGCTTGTTGATTAATTGGAGATAAAGAATCTTACAGCCTTTCCTTTCTGAGCTAGCTTTGAACTGTGATACTCAGATCTCAGCCTTCTGAGTAGCTAAAATTACAAGCATGAGCAACTGGTGCCTGGCTTAAATTTGTTTCCTTAATTACTGTTTTCTTTTTTCTTTTGATATGATAAACCAGTTTTGATTATTTGATTTTGAATATAATGACTTAGCACTTAAACCATTAATCAGAATTCAAGGTGAAATAGCCTTTTGATTTAGCCAGATGAGCAGTAGCATTATCTAAACAATATTCCTTCTTCCATCATTTTTCTGTATCTTTTCAGGTCTAGATAAAATATAGCCTGGCTTAGAGCTGCTTCTAGCCGTACAAACTTTTTTTGTACCCCTTAGCACATACCCATTGTGATTTTTATACACTTACCTCTTTAATTAGCAGTGATTAATAACTTGGTCTGCAGATTCTAAATTCTGTTTTTTTTTTTTTTTGTTGTTGTTGTTGTAGGGCTTCAATGCTGGGCCTGGGCGCTGTCCTTGAGTTCTTCAGCTTAAGGCAAGCACTCTACCACTTGAACCACAGAGCCACTTCTGGTTTTCTGGTGGTTAATTGGTGATAAGAGTCTCATGGACTTTGCCTGCCTGGGTTGGCTTTGAACCATGATCCTCAGATCTCAGCCTCCTGTGTAGTTAAGACTACAGGCGTTAGCCACTGGCACCTGGCCCAGATTCTAAATTCTAAACATAGGCTTGATATCTGAGTGATAGTTTCTTGCCCTCTAGAGCAGTGTAAAAATAAAGCTAGAAACAGAAAACTCAATGGAAAGTTTAGCTGAAAGTGAAAGGAAAGCCATGAAACAAAGTAGCAGAAGCCCTCCAATCCGGAGTGGGGGACTAAAGAGGAGTCCAATGGAGTTTTCTCAGAGGGCAATTTTTATAATATGGAGGATTGTCCCATATTTCCTTCTGTGGGCTTTGTGTTGATTACTTGATAGCTTATGTATGTGCTGTCCTGGCTCTTTTTGTTGGTTGAGCAGGTTCCTAGGGCATAACAGGAAGAAGCAGCACTGAATCTGGATCAAGAAGCATAGCAGGAGCCCGGGGTACTGTGGGAACAAGAAACATCATGGTGGGACTTGTTATTGGCCACATGTTATATCTGCCATTTTTTATTCCTATCTACCAAACAGTTCCCCATTCTCTTGCCTAGGCTCATATAACTAGCTAGTGAAGTGATCTTAGGTAGTTTGTGGAACTTAGGAGAAAAAATTCAAAATATTAATTATAATATTGTATGGGCTGGGAATGTGGCTTAGTGGTAGAGTGCTTGCTTAGCATGCATGAAGCCCTGGGTTCAATTTTTCAGTACCACATAAACCGAAAAAGCCAGAAGTGGATGCTGGTAGAGTGCTACTTGAGCAAAAATAAAATGAAGCTCTAGGCCCTGCTTGTGTCTAGTGCTTCGTCTTTTTAGCCGACATAAGCAAAAGGATTTTTTAAAAAAATAGAATTAATGCTTAACTTGATCGTTTTTCATCTAGGTATTTTCCAGTTATTTTCTAAAAGTTTATATGATTTCAGAATATTCTTTTGATTAAACAGATGTTGGTCATTATACCCCTATGCCAGCTTTCTGAATTTTATTACCAATATGAACAGTTAACATTTGATGATGTTGCATTAAGAACTGTAGTATTCTTTATGTGTAAAAAAAATACATATGTATGTATTGTAGACCATTTTCTCAAAGTTTTAATTTGCCTCTGATTGGTAAATTATTCTATTGAGTAATGTATGATAAAATCATAAGCCAAGAGGTATTATTGTTATTTTACATGTTCTTAATATATATGTATATATGCATGTATAAATCTCTTTTTTTTAAACCATTTTAGGATTTTGAACACAGAGCCTTGGTTTGCTAGGCTGGCATACCTCCAGCTCTAATTTTCATGGGTATTTTTAGCATAGAATTTTTTTTCTGAATGAGTGCACTGTTTTAGGGGTTCTTGTGCCTTGCTAATATTACAGTTACATGCTACCACATGAAGATGGAATCTTAAGGATTTTTCTGCTTGGGCTAGACTGGAACTGCAGTCCTTCCATTCTCAGCCTCCCAAGTGTACTCTCTTTATTTTTGAGAATAGTCTCCCTCTTTACTTGTCCCAGCCTAGACAACATTCCTCTTTAGTAAACTTTCGGCTATATTTGGGATGACATTATGAACCACCATAGTAAGTCTTTTTAGTTGAGATGGGGTCTTGTGAACAATTTTGCCCAGATTGGCCTGGGGCCCAAATCTTCCCAATCTGTCAGATAGCTAAGATTACAGGTATGAGCCACTGTTACTTGGCTCATTCTTAGTATTTTTAATGAAGTCACTAGCAATTAAAGTCTTAGCTGTAGTCCCTTTATCTTTTTTTGGTAATTGTCTATTTTGTATTGGGGCTTTAAACAATCAATATGGTTAGAAGTAAAAGTGCTTGGTTGAGTCTTTCACTTATTAAGGTTGTGCTCCTCATTTTTGTAGGCATTTTGGATCAGTCTGCTGTGTGGGTTGATGAAATGAATTATTATGATATGCGTACAGACAGGAATAAAGGAATTCCTCCTTTGTCCCTCCGTCCTGCAAATCCTCTTGGCATTGAAATTGAAAAGTGAGTACTATCTTGCCTTTTCTTTGTTTTTCAGTTGCTGGAAGTTTTATATTATAACAACGAAGGGAGGCAAATACCAGAAAGTCCTGGGGAGCACATTGTTTGGAGCCAGGTGTTATTTCAGAAGCCTGGTCAGTTTTGTTATGGATCAGTGTTGTGGTTTTGGCAAGATTCTATTCAGGTGGTATTTTTAAATCTAAATAGGATTTGTAATCTACCCAACTACTTGATTTTTCTAGAAATATTTTAGAATAATTAAATAATTCTTTTTGTTTATTTGTACTTTCTGCCTACCATTCTTATTTAACTCATACTTAATTAACTTTCCTCATCAAAATGTTGCCAGGTAAATGATACCTTATTGGGTAGCCAAATCTGGAGTTTCATTTTTTAAATTCTGAGTAGGGTATTTTAGTAACTTTTGTAGTGAATGTCTTTATATTTTACTCTAAACAGTTCATCTTATATATTGTTTACTTTCTGGCCTCAGTGAATCCAATTATGGAGCTATCTACTGAATGTTGCTTCATAAACATGGAAAGTGAAAAAAATAGTTCACTGATATTTTAGCCATATTTCAGGCTTTATTTCAAGCTTTCCTAAGAATTATGGAATTCTCTACTTAGCTTGAAATATGTAACATTCAAGCTTGCTCTTGAAGATCATTAGTGTTTCAGGATGCAAGTTGAATTTTCACTCTGGAGTTGCCTGCTATGCAAGAAGTCTGTCTTTGGCAGGTATCACATGTTGAAAAGCCCTAGGGATTTGGAGCTTTTACTGACCTTAAACTATCTAGGTAGCATCTTTGAAGCACTAGCAACATGGGTCATTGGTGCCCTGTACTTAAGAGTTTAAAAATGGAGACAGTCTGGGAAGGAATAGTCATGTCCAGGCACATATTTGAATGCACTTACAACCCTAGGTAGACTTTGTAATTGACACTACAAAGGGACTGTGTGAAGACTCCTGAAAGCCAGCTTCTTTCCGTGGCTGCTATAGAAGTTCAGAATAGAAGGACCCTTTCAATCAGTTGTTCTTCCTTAATCAAGATGCAACCTTGAACCAGATCTGGCCAAGGAGCATGAGCAGTTGCTCATGTTCCATGTGAGAGTCAGTCAAGCAAAGTTAAGTTTCAGTGAATTCAATAGGATGGTCATCTTCTGAAAAATTTACACATTCCACTTTCCTTTTAGAATATAGCCTTCCCTTACTTATACTCTCTTTTCTTTCGTAGCCTCTCACATTTTTTTTTTTTTATCATTCCCTTTACTACTGCTACCTATAAAGAGGTTTTCTTGAATCATCTTCTAGCAGTATTTTTGCTTAAGGTGTTCCAAGATAGTCTCTTATAAGGAGGATAATGGCATCAAGGAATAATGATACTTTTAGTGCTCAGCTTTTCTTTCTTATCTAAAAGGTAGTTTAGTATGATCTGGAGCTGAATTTTCTTGATTTAGATTTAGAATCTACTATTAACAGGATGATTTGAGGAAGTTACTTAACTTCCCCAGGCCTCTATTTCCTCAACTACAAAAAAGAGTACTTCTTTCTTAGGGTTGTGAGGATTTAGTTAGAGAGTGAGGCACAAAACTCTTGGAACATAGCTGATCCCTAGTCAGTGTTAGTCATCAATACTGAGGTACTTTGCTCCTCTGAACTTACAGTGCTCATAGCTCTGCCCCTAAGGAAAGACATTCTTTCAAGTCCTTCCCCTCCCCTTCCCTCCCATCCCCTCCCTTTCCCTCTCCTCCCCTCCCCTCCCCTTCCCTCCCCTTCCCTCCCTTCTCTCTTCCCCTCCCACCCTCCCCCCACTCTCTTATTTTGTGCTTGACCTGGGGCTTGAACTTGGGGCTCTGGAACTGACTCCAAGCCTTTTTGCTCAAGGCTATAGCTCTACCACTTGAGCCACAACCCCCACTTCTGGCTATTTAGTGATTAATTGGAGATAAGAATCTCATGGACTTTTTCTGCCCAGACTGGCTTTGAACTTCAATCCTCAGATCTCAGCATCCTGAGTAGCTAGGATTACAGGTATGGGCAACCAGTGCTTGGCTTGAAATAATATTTTTAATGACTTAAATTTTCAGAGTAATAAGTTATACTCAGATTTTAAAATGGCCTCATACATATTTATTTAAGAAGTAATTAATATAGGGATAGTATTAACAAAATTTTTAAATCATTACTTAAATTTCAGTACTATTTAGTTAGCCATGAAAAATGTAAAATTTTGAAGAGTACTTTTGATGAAGATAAAATTATGACATACAACAAGTGAATAGATAATATAGCTTTTATTCAACTCATTGATTAATATGAGATCAGTAGACACTAAAACTAGTTCAGAGCAAAGTGAAGAGGGAGGGAATAGGCAGTGAGAAATGTTGATAGGTACTGAGCAGTTGCTTCTACTGGGCAGTAAGCATTTGTGTCCTTACTGCCTGGGGTAGAGCTCCACAGCATCAGAGAACTCTGGGCATGTTCTCAGGACAGGAAAAGGACTTCCCGGGATCTTTCTGTCCATCTTTGAGTTTTTTTTTTTTTTTTAATAAATTTTACTGTCAGGAAAGAGGATAGACATTCCAGCAAGCAAGAAAATAAAAGGTGATATGTACATAGCTTTTGACCTTTTCTGCTTGTGCTAGACATACACTAGTTTTTGCAAATAAGGGAAATCATGGGACCTATGTTTCTTTGGGCCTGGCTTATTTCACTTAATATGATTTTTTCCCAAATCTTTCCATTTCCTAACAAATGGGGTGGTGTCATACTTTCTGATGGAGGTATAGAATTCATAGATACACCACATTTTCTTGATCCATTCATCTTCTTCCCCCATGGTATAACCCCTGTTTTCACTGTATTTGGTTCCATTGCCCTGCATCTTGTATATACATTTTTCTAATTAGGGGAGGGGAAGGGAAATAACAAAATGGTAAAAAAAAGGATACAGGTTGATCCATTGTAACAATGGGATGTACAAGACACTATGTTGAAAATGAACTTTACAGCTGGGGGCGGGGGAGAGGGAGAAGTTGGGGAGGTGGGGAGGGAGGGAAGGGATGGTAGGGGAAAAAAAGGAGGGGATAAGAATGCTCATAGGAAATGTACTCATTACCGTACTCATGTAACTGTAGCCCCTTTGTACAGTATCTTTATAATAAAAATACATATTAAAAAAAGAAAGGAAAAGGTGAAAATACCAACAGAGAGAATGGAAACCAAGGAGAAAATGAACAATTATGAACAAGGAATAATTATTTTCTAGATGGTTTTTTTGTGTTTTAAAATGAATATTTTTAAAAAGTCTTTGTATTCCTTTGTATTCTTTTACCTCAGACAAATTATTTCAATTTTTTTTACTTTTTCCTGATGGGACCAGAGATTGAACTCTTGGCCTCGTGTATGTTATACATATGCTCTACACTGAGTTATACCCATAGCTCAGATAGAGAAATCTTGTTTCAGAGAAGAGAAAAGGAAAGGCAGACTAAAATATTGTTGAAGATTTTATTCTCCAGACCTACTTAACATTTTTTAAATACAAGCTTTTGTCTTTGTAGAGAATGGTGTTGCATTCAGTTTAAAATCCAGATTTTTTAAATTAATGTCATTTCTTTTATAATTAAAAGGCAGGAGAGTCTGAATAAGCAATACCTAAGGAATAATAGGGTTTTAATAATATTTTTTGATTGAAAAGTATTAATGAAGAATGTTTGAGGAATTATAAAAGCTTATTTTAAAAGAATCACTGTGGTCCTGTGAATTATGAAATTAACATGGGGCCTAGGCCTTTGTTAGAGTATTTATGGACATCTTCCATGGGTGAGAGTCGGGTACAAAGTGGAATAGTGAAGAACCTGTTGTGTTTTGGCTGCTATATCTGAATATGAAAAAGCAAATGAGAGTAACACAATATCGTTGGTGTTAGGATTTAATAATATTTTATTGGTGGACTCAGCATGCAGGCTGTCGTCTTTCAGTCCACAAGTTTTAACAACTGGCATTTATTGGCCACTTTTGACTGTTAAAATCCTTTGTATTCTAAATTTTTAACAGTTGCTTTACAAATGTGGTGCCGTGATATTTGTGAAAATACTACTAATTACAGAAAAAATAATTTGACTTTAAATTGAGATTAAGATCTGCTTGTAAAAGATATGTATTTCTTTTTTAAAAATTTCATATTTAAAGAATGCAAAAGGCCTTGAAACATCAGAATTGCTCTTAAAATCTCATGGAATTTCAGAGTTGAACACATTCTATAATTTCTTAGCCCACATTTACTCATTGTAAATATGAGAAAAATTAAGTCTATGTTAAATCTTTTTCAGAGTGTTAATTATTAGTAGTTAATTTGAGTTAATTGGATTTGAATCTAGCTCACGGTCTTTTTTTGACTTTAATATTATGTAAAGGTGATGTACAGAGGGGTAATAGTTTCATAAGGTAATGAGTACATTTGTTGTCGAATATTGTTACCCCCTCCCTCATTTTTCTCCCTCTTCGTCATTCCTCTGAAGTTGTAACGTTCATTTCCAAAATAGTATCTTGTATCACTGTTGCATTAGTTCACCCTTTGTCCTTTGTCTCATCATTTTGTATTTGTATTTCTGATTTATTATTCTTTTTTTTTTTGGGTCTGTTCGTGGGGCCTTGAACTCTGGGCCTGGGCGCTGTCCCTCAGCTCTTCAGCTCAAGGCTAGCGCTCTACCACTTGAGCCACAGCGCCACTTCCAGCTTTTTCCTTTTTTTGCTTATTTGGTGCTGAGGAATCAAACCCAGGGCCTCAGGCATGCAAGGCAAGCACTCTACCACTGAGCCACCTTCCCAGCCCTGATTTTTTATTCTTATTGCAAATATATATATTCTCATATAGCTTCAATTGACAGATACTTTAAATAAACAATTAACAGAGACTTTAACTGACAAGTTACAAATAGGTTCATAATCAGTGAGAGCCTTAATTAGATTTTATTTCTTAAAACTAATATGTATTTGCAAATTTTGGAGTGTGGACTGGAAAATGAAGCATTGCCTCTGTTTTTGTAAGCTACAACTGTTCTTCTAAGTTGTGACTTGAGAATGACTACTTAATGCACCAATTCTATATGGGTTTTATCGTGATGTACATCTTATTTTCTTCTAATCAGTTTGGCTTTCCAACAGAAATAAAGTAAAAAGGTGGCCACTTTTCTTAGTAAGAATTTAAGAAGAAAAGAACCTTGAATTTAGTTTCAAAATTTTGTAAAATTAGAGCTGTGGCTGTGATACAATGCCTAAGTCTGGAAAATGTAGCACACTTTAAAAAAATTTTAAAAAGGATGAAAAAGTTGAGGAAATAGGTGGGTGTTGAAAGATTTGGGAGAATGATGAAAGGGATGATGTTGATCAAGATGTATTGTACTCATAAACTGACATGTTGAATTGAGACCCCTTTGTTTAATGATAATAAAATTGTAATGAAAAATAAAAGGAAACAACCAAACCAACTTACAGTATTTAATACAATCAAATATAAATAGTATAGCTAAAAATTTGAAGCTAAAAGAAGTGAGTATACCATCACCCTTTTACTATTTTTGCACCAGATTTTTTTTTTCACTGTATAGCCATATCAAGTACACTGTTTCCTTCTTTTTTTTTTTTGGGGGGGGGGGGGGAGGGTCCGGTCCTGGGGCCTGAACTCTGGGCCTGGGCGAGTCCCTCAGCTCTTCAGCTCAAGGCTAACGCTCCACCACTTGAGCCACAGTGCCACCTCTGGCTTTTTTCTTTTTGCTTATGTGGTGCTGGGGAATTGAACCCAGGGCCTCATGCATGCAAGGCAAGTGCTCTACCACTGAGCCACCTTCCCAGCCTTGTTTCCTATACTGTAAACAAAGTACCCAACTGCAACCAGGTCTCATTGCATTTTAAGAACTAGATTGTTTTCCCATCTAGATTTGTCATTTCACTAGCTACTTGGTCAATACTGCAGATGTTAGCTTTATGTCTATCTTAATCTCATGCCTGGGACTAACCTTTTTTAGAATGTTTAAATCTGAGTTTACACTGCCATCTAATGGAAAACATTTTTTGTTTTTAGTGATTAGCAAGAGTTGTCAGAATCTAAAGCAGAGTGTTTTGATTCTCTAATGAAAGTATTTTCAGAGTTTTCATAGGAGAGTATATATTGTTTTCAATCTCTCACTCCATGCTAGTAAATTAAAATGGAGGTTTAAGTTGAACTGAGGGAATATTTTGCTCTTACAGAGTTATCAGGTCACTTGGAAGGCTAAACTGTAGTAGTTATGAACACACATTTAAGTTTTAAGTTTCTACATTTCATTAGTAATGTTGATGTAGTATGAAGAAGACCACTGGCATTTTTCTTCTTTCTCACTCCCCTTCCTACTCTTCCCCTGAATTTTTACATTTCTAGATTTGTAGTTGCATTTTTATTTCATATATAAGTCTCTCTTTCTGTATTGCCAAAAGAAGCACCAGGGGCAAATGTTGAAGAGCGACCTGTCACAAGAGGGCTGCTTATTTATCTGTAAAGTGGGATATTTGATTTGCTTGTGATGAGGACCAAGTGTAACAATACTTAAGCAAATAATCTATAATAAATAAACTATCATTAATAAAAATGAACTGCAAATAGCATTTTGAAGCATTTATTTTTTGTCAGACAGTTCTATCCATTTCTACTTTAATCCTCAAAGCTTTTCTAAGGAGAATATACTCTGATCTCATTATCCTTACAAATAAATATAATCTTGGAGAAGTGAATTATCTTGTGCAAGGCTATGTAGCCACTTGTACCAGACTTGGGCTAAGTAGGGATTGAGTGTATTGTGTGTGCCTCTATCCCTTGTCCCTTCAGCTCCGTAGTAAATACCCCTATGTCTAGTGCAGTTTGCCATTTCTTTCCCATAGAGATTCAATACATTGTCAATCATTTTTATTTTCTTTTTTTTTTTTTTTTGGTCGGTCGTGGGGCTTGAACTCTGGGCTTGGGCACTGTCCCTCAGCTCTTCAGCTCAAGGCTAGTGCTCTTCTGCTTTTTTATTTTCTGAGCCATATATTTCACATTTATTTGAGGTAAATACACAAACTAATAGCATTTTAAGATCTATATTTAGAGGTAGAATATTATGTCAGGATACCTTCCGCTGCAAGTAATGGAAAATGAAAATTAATTTGACTTGAACAACAAGGACATTTTTCTTTTCATAATCTACAGACTCCAAAGGTGGCAGACTCCAAGATAGGCAGAGACAGTGACTTAGTCATACTACTGCGATTTGAGGAACCAGGGTTTTTGCTGTTCTGCTTCACTTAGTAGAAAACTGGCTTCCTTCATAATTGTAAAATGGTATTAACAATTCCCAGTGTTGAAACTGGACATAATTATGTCATAGCAAAAAGATGTTATTTGTTCTGACTGCTGAAAAGTATGGTGATAGTCCGTGAGGAAGGCTTCAGTTGATCTTTCCTCAGACATAGCTGCTCAAAACTTGGTCACCCTACAAAGAGCAACAAAAAAGTTTTACTCCATTTGCTGGCTCCTGTGCTATGTAGATTCTTCTAGCAGAGCAGGCCCAGAGTATCAGAGGGATTGCTGTTATCACTGGCATCTCCTAATAGTAGTCTGTGTCTCTGTGTGTGTAAGGTTTGGCCTGGAGTTGACATGTGATTTCGATAAGATGTTTGACATTTCTGTGTCATCTTGAAAATTACTTCTGCCTTTTGCAATCCTAATTCCTAGTTTAGGTCTAGGTATTTTTCTTCCAATTTAAATAGTTGTGGTTAAGAGAAAGCTGTAATATTTTCAGTAAGAACTTAATAAGAATAAACAATTTCTGGGATGAAGGTTTGGATATTTTTTTTCAAATTCTGCCTGGTCATTTCAGAGCAAAAAGTTGCAGAAAGAGTGAGGGCCAGTTCTTGAATTCTTAGTGTATAGCTTTTCCTGGTAGAAGTACTTGGCCTCCTTAACCACTTCTGTTCATATCAAGTTCAGTTCCAGGATCTGCTGCCCTTTTCTCATACATCCTTGCTTTGTCTATGATGCATGTGAATATGCTGGAGAGATGAGTTGCTGGGCATGTAGGAGCCTCACCATGCTGTGGTCTTCCCTTGCCAAGGAATGTGGCCAGACATATCCTACTCCCAGAGTCAATGGGAAATGGAGTGGGCTATCTCTGCGATAGGAGAGTTATCTCCTAGAGACCTCAAAATTCATTAGAAGTTTCCTTTTTATATGACTAAGTTTTGTTTGTAAAAATAACATACTGAAAATAACTGACTTAAGCTTAGTAATCAGGTGAATTTTAAATACAAAGTACAGGGGAGCATTTTCATAGGAAAAAGCCCTTCTGGGCTATAAAGGAGTAGAGGTGGAAATGGAGATGTATGACCTTCTCCATGTGGGCCTGGTGAGAATGTTCTCCTGAAGTCCCTATGACAGAGTGACCTGTAGCTGTGGGACATAGAAACCATGTGAAGAATGGGGATAGTGGGCTTTGTGTCTGAGAGGTTGGCCTCTTGCTTCCAGCTCCAGAAGGAGTAAATGACAGTAAAACAGCAAGACAACTCCAGTCTGAGGAGCAGCAGTAAGAAATAAATCCATCAAAAAAAAAAAAATCATGGTTAGAGAGCTCCCCAAGAGCAGGTTTCAGGGAACCCATGGAAATTCCCACAGATTCAAGTAGATTTTAATACCCAGTGGGCAGAAAGCACAAACCATTACTGAAGGACTCAGAAGGACTTTCTATTTTCTTCTTAGTCCTTGCATGAATATGTAAATGAATTGACCCACAAGTCACCTTAAGGATGTATGCAAGTTAAAAAAGCTGCAGAGAGTGTATAGTCTGTTGTTATTACGAGCTTTTCTTAAGATTGTTCTAGAGTGGACATGTGAAGATTCCTACTGTATAGTTAAAGGTAGGTTTTTAGTATTCTGATGATTTTTTTAAGCATTAGGATATCTTAAAGCAACTTTTGTGTACATCATTAATGAAAAGCATTTTGACAAAGTAATTTAAAGTTTTAAAATTTCATTATATCCAAATTTTGATTTTTATGCTCTGAAGGGAATTATTCCTGTTTTGAAAGAATCCATAAAAACATCAAACTTATGTTTGAAACCCTTATTAAAATCTTAAATTCTTTTACTGATATAATTTCTGTTCTTCAACTAATTTTCTGTCTTATATCTAGAAAGTTTATATGATAGAAAATGAGCCAAAAGACAAGAAATATATTTCAGACATGTATACAAACATGATTGAGAACTTACTGTATATAATTGTAATGGTTTATACTCATTTAATGTAGGTATTCAGTGATGTCTGTCACATTTTGGTTATAATAACAGTTGTAATGTATTTTAAATACATTTCTTTCTAGAAGTAAATTTCCCCAGAAGGACTTAGAAATGATGTTCCATGGAATGAGTGCTGATTTTACAAGTGAGAATTTTTCAGCTGCCTGGTATCTCATAGAGAATCATTCAACTACCAGGTTAGTGGATGTTGGACCATGACTATGATAGGTGTCACTCAGATGCTAATAATAGGGTTAACTAGTACTTGTGAGTTTAAGTATGGGTCAGCCCACAGTAACACAGTTTTATGTTTATGAGTTCTTTGGAGTCTGTCATCTTAGGGTATCTGTTTCCTCATTTGCTATTATTTTATGTTTTTATATATTTCATTCAACTCATTAAAATTTTGAAATGTTTTATAGCTAGGGCCCTAAGTCAGTATGTGTGAATGTAATATATCTCTTTACTTAAATAACAATGTTAAATACAGAACACACTGCCCTTCCTGACCATAAAGACCTGGCTTAAATTAGTGAAAAAGGTGGCATTTTCTGCTAATTACAATTTACCTATTTTTTACGAAGACAGATTAATAACTATTGCAATATTGAGTTTATATAGTTTGTATAGTTATATTTAGTAAAAACATTGAGATAAATGGTTTATTGCTTAAAATTTATATTCTTGGTAAGTCAACTTGTAAACTTGAACTTATACCTCTTTATATACTTATTTTATAAACTTAGGGTAAAATTACTAGAAATCATGAGGGAAAGAGTTAATAGAATAAATTTGGTGTGATATATTTTTAAAGTATATGTCTTTTATTGTAGAAGATAGTTCTACTTTTACATTATGGGAGTGCTTTTTCTATTATGATTCAGAATTGATTTCCATTTTCTGAGTGGAGGTGTCATAGCACTCAAAAATACATTCATAGTTTTATAGATAGTGGAAATAAAGTTTCTAAAACACAGGGGCCTACCTTTTCTGTAGATCTTTGCTTGAGTTCTATAGATAAAACTTCATTCTTTTTTGGTACTTAAATTGTTAGTTTACCCACAATTTTTATGTCATTTAATTATTAAGGATAGAAGACTATAAATTGAGGTGATCAGGTTAACAAATTATGTTCTAATTTGTGTCTGTGTGTGGCGCAAATGGGAATAGAGTCTTAAGGACTTTTCTGCCTGGGCTCACTTCGGACCTTGATCCTCTAGGTCTCAGCCTCTTGAGTGGCTAGAATTACAAGCATGAGCCACCAATACCTGGCCCTAAATTTCTTGAGTGTATGGAGAAGTCCTGTCTTTGAAATATTGCCCAACACTGGACAAACTATGTGTTTCTATCAGGTTGAAGATATTCAAACCCTTTATCTCACAAATTCTGTGTATTGTGTATAATATCAGGCTGGGAAGGTGGCTCAGTGGTAGAATGCTTGCCTTGCATGCATGAGGCCCTGGGTTCGATTCCTCAGCACCACATAAGCAGAAAAAGCTGGAAGTGGTGCTGTGGCTCTATTGGTAGAGCGCTAGCCTTGAGCTGAAGAGCTGAGGGACAGCGCCCAGGCCCAGAGTTCAAGCCCCCTGACTGAACCCCCCCCCCAAAAAAAAATCTACTAAGTTGTTAAGGGTCTGATGTATTTGAATTGCCAGTTGAGAGCTATAGAGTTCTTACGATAGCTATAATAATTTAAGCATTTCAGTCAATACAAGGTTATATCTAGATTAGAATTGAAAAGTTTTTGTTTTCATATGATTATGATTATAACATATCAGTCTATAGGTAGGCTTCTTCACATAGATTTTTACCAATTTTAATATTGTATACTTATTGAGTTATCTTACTTCTCTCTCTCTTTTTATTTTTTGCTTGTTAGGAATCTGAATCATTTTTTTTTTTTTTAAATTTCATTGCAGTTTTGAGCAGCTCAAAATGGCAGTCACCAACCTCAAAAAGCAGGCCAGCAAGAAGAGTGAGGGCAGTCTGGCCTATGTGAAGGGTGGCCTCAGTACATTCTTTGAGGCACAAGATGCCCTCTCAGGTAAGACGATCCCCAGAGCCATGTGCTAAGAGCCCCTACCATGGAAACTTGACACCGTGCTTGCCTCATGTTTACGGGGTGTGACATTCAGTCTGTATTTATAAAAGTAGAGATCTAAAATGTACCATAAATATTTGTTGCAGAGTAGGCTGGAATCTCTTTGAAGGCCTAGTACTTTAAATATTTGTCTCTGAGGCTTTGTTGACCCATCTTACATATGTGAAATCAGAGACTTCTTTTTAACCTCCCTATAATGCCCAATCTGAGGTTGATAAGAAATTAAATCTTAAAATCTTTTTACTGCTATTGCTTCTTACATATGTGTCTAATTCTACAAATGTGACCTATTGTCTGCTCAGAAGTTGAAAGAGCTGATATTTAAAATTGTTTAAGTAATTTGCTTTACTTTCCTATTATGAAAAATTTTAGAAGTGGTAAATATGAAAAATTTCAAACTTGGTGAAAGTCATTCAATATTTCACAGTTATATTTTTTTGTATGATTTTGCTTCCCTATATGTCTTTGCATGAATTCCCCAACTATTGAAGTAGCTAGCAAAGTTAGCAGTAATTCTTCAATATCACCTCATTCTCATTCATATGCACATGTATTCACTGACCTATAAACTTTGTTATTATAGTAATTTGTTCAGATCAACTCAACCCAAGTTCAGATATTTCATTTGATCTTAAATCTTATAGCAGTCTTCTCATCTTCCCTACCCTTTTTCCTATTCTATGCCATTGAAGACACAGGGTCAATTTACCTGTAGAGTAACCCAGTTGAATTACAATGATTAGTTCCTTCTTGTGTCATATGTTACTTTGTCATATCGCTTACATATTAACTAAGAGATAATTTTAGTACTTGGGTCACAGGTAGTATTGTGTTCATTTATCATATCATTAGTATGTGTTTCTTTCTTGTGGACATAGAACTTGGCTAGGTTGGTTACTGGAAATTGGTAGATTATACTTTTAGAACTTCTACTTTCTATGTTTTATTTATTTTGGTTTATTTTCCCCTTATTATTATTATTATCATTGCATTAGCAGTTTTTTTAAATATCTCTTTGAATTCATGTTACAGGCTTTTCCATGATCTTTTTAATTTACAGATATATTCTACTTTCTTTTCCTTTTATATTGCTTCAATAGTTATACCTATATTTGTGTTTTAAAATTTGTCATTTTGCCAGCTGCTAGTGGCTCCTCAGAAGACTGAGGTCTGAGGATCATGATTCAGAGCCAGCAGGCAGGAAAGACTGAGACTCCAATAAACTCCCCCCCATGTAGCTGTGGCTAGCTATCTTTGAGCACAAAAACTCAGGGACAGTGCTCGGACCTTGAGTTCAAGCCCCAGGACTGGCTCACAAAAAATAAAAATAAAAATTTATCATTATAATTTTCCTCTGAAACCTAATACTTTGTACTGGGATTTTGTTTTTGAGGTTAGTTTCTGATAATGTTATTGAGGATATTTTTCTTAATACATGTCCATTTTCTATAACTGTAGCAAAGATAAGGAGAGGGCTAAGGAGCCTCTGTAGCAGAGCTTTTGTAGTATAGCTCTGAAGTAGAGCTTTTGCCTATGTGTAAGGTCTTTGGTTCCATTCTCAGCATCACAGATAAAAACAAGATGAAACAAGGATACTTGTTTCATATGTTCCCAATACCTGGTTAGCTGTTTCTTAAATCTAGGTAATAGTAAATAGGACAAACAAGTCTTTTTAAAATTTTGATAGTTTTTCTTTGTATGCAAAATCTGTGTTTAGTTTGTAACTTTTGATTGCTTGTACTCTGGTAGTGTTATTGTTATTATATGATAGTAGTAATTACAAGATAAAGGCAGTCTTCAAGATTACCTTCAGGTTTGGTAATTTGCTAGAAAGACTCACAGAGCTCACTGAACGCTTTTGGTTGATCATCGGGAGGAGATGCAGAGCCAAGATTAATAGACATATTGGGCAGGGTCCAGGAGAATTCCACTTGTGCTTTCAGTTCTTGTCTCTAAGTGAGTTACGATTCTCCTGGTAATAGTGTGTGATAACATACGTGGACAACTGCTCATTGAGGAAATTGTCAGTCTTGGTGTCCAGCCTTTAATGGGAATAAATTCCACAGACATGGTCAGTAGCCCTTATGATTCTTGAAAGCTGAAGCTGAGGCCCAAACCCTGTAAATCACATTGTGATAATGCATCTTTATTTCCTGTGCATTTTCCTGACTTTAATTTGAAGTTAAGATCCTCATTGTTTTACCTCTTGCATTTAAGTATTATTTAGATTTATTTTTGTGATTTGAATTTACTTTGTATATGTTTAAAGTTTTAAAGCTTATTAGTAGTCTTGTCTATGTTTCATCTTAATAATCTTTGATTTTTTTTGAGCATCAGGATCAATCTTTTTTTTTTTTGTTTTTTTTTATATTTTATTTTATTTTATTTGTGAACATACTGTACAGAGGGGTTACAATTACATGGGCAAGATAATGCATACATTTCTTACCAAGCATTGCATCCTCCTCCTTTGTTTACCCTTCACATCCCTTCCCACCTCCCCCCCCCCAATCCTTCCCCGCCCCCCCCCCCCCCCCCCCCGACATTGTAAAGCTGGTTTTTTTTAACATGACAACTTGTACTTCTCATTGTTGCAACAGGTCCACCTGAATCCTTAAACGACTTGTTTTTCCCCATCTCCTCCACAAGTTATACTGACATCAAATATAGTGAAAGCGGGGGTTATACTGTGGGGGAGGGACATACAAAGCAACCAAGAAATAATCTTATAAATGTGTTAGAAACAATCGCATGAAAGAAAAAAAACAATAAAATACATATCTAAAGGTTCATTTTCCTAACATCACATTATCTGACCTTTTCCGCTTGACTCATACATATACTAGATATTGCAAATAAGGGAAACCATGGGACCTGTGTTTCTTTGGGCCTGGCTTACTTCACTTACTATGATTTTTTCCAAGTTTTTCCATTTCCTAACAAATGAGGCAATGTCATTCTTTCTGATGGAGCCATAGAATTCCATTGTGTATATATACCACATTTTCTTGATCCATTCATCTACTGAGGGGCATCTGGGTTGGTTCCATCTCTTAGCTATGGTAAATAATGCTGCAATAAACATAGTTGTGCTGGTAGCTTTAGTGTGGTCTTATTTGTAAACATTTGGGTAAATGCCCAAAAGTGGGATTGCTGGGTCATAGGGGAGCTCTATGTGAAGTCTTTTGAGAAACCTCCATACTGCTTTCCAAAGTGGTTGAACAAGTTTACATTCCCACAAACAATGAAGTAAGGTTCCCTTCTGTCCACATCCCCTCCAGCATCTGTTGTTGTTAGAGTTCTTGATTTTTGCCATTCTAACTGGAGTGAGGTGGTATCTCAATGTTGTTTTGATTTGCATTTCTTTTATGGCTAGGAATGTTGAACATTTCTTCATGTGTCTATTGGCCATCCTTCTTTCTTCTTCAGAGAAGTTTCTCTTTAAGTCTTTAGCCCACTTGTTTATTGGGCAGTTGTTTCTTTGAGGATTTGTTTTTGGGGGATTTAATTTTTTGAGTTCCAAGTATATATATTTTTTAATTTAATTTAATTTTATTTGTGAACATACTGTACAGAGGGGTTACAATTACATGGGCAAGATAATGCGTACATTTCTTACCAAGCATTGCAGCCTCCTCCTTTGGTTTACCCTTCACATCCCTTGGGTTCCAAGTATATTTTAGATATGAGACCCTTGTCCGTTATATGGCTAGTAAAGATCTTCTCCCAATCCGTGGGCTTTCTATTGATCTTGCTAGCTATGTCCTTTGCCATGCAGAAGCTCTGCAACTTTATGCAATCCCATTTGTCCAACCTTTCTTTGATTTGTTGTGTTTCCGGGTCTCTATTCAGAAAATTTCGGCCTGAGCCAAGGAGACCTAGGGTTTCTCCTATTCCATCCTGTAATGTTTTCAGAGTGTCTGCTTTGACTTCGAGGTCTTTGATCCATTTGGAGTTGATTCTGGTGCAGGGTGATATATAAGGATCTAGCTTTAGTTTTCTACAAGTAGTTAACCAATTTTGCCAGCACCATTTACTGAAGAGGCTATCTTTCTTCCATTCTATTGTTTTAGCTCCCTTATGGAAGATTAGATGGCTATAGGTCTGTAGGTTCATTTCTGGGTTTTCAGTTCTATTCCATTGGTCCTGAGGTCTGTTCTTATGCCAATACCAAGCTGTGTTTTGATTACTATGGCTTTATAGTAGAGTTTGAAATTTGGTATTGATATTCCTCCAACAGTGTTCTTTCCATTGAGGAGCGTTTTTGCTATTCGGGGTCTTTTATTGTTCCATATGAATTTTTGGATTGCCTCTTCTATTTCCTTGAAGAATGAGGTTGGAATTTTGATAGGTATCGCGTTGAATTTGTAGATAGCCTTGGGAAGTATTGCCATTTTCACAATGTTAATCTTTCCAATCTAGGAGCATGGGAGGTTTTGCCATTTTTTAAGTTCTGTGTTGATTTCCTTTTTCAAGATTTTAAAGTTTTCATCATAGAGGTCCTTCACTTTGGTTAATTCCTAGGTATTTTATTTTTTGTGGGGCTATTACAAATGGAGTTGCTTTCCTAATTTCAGCCATACTTTAAGAGAACTGTTTTCTGAAGACATTGATCTGGTGACTTTTAGAGCTGTAGAGAAATCTTTTGCCAGCATAAATCTGTTATTGTAGGCAAATTACTTGTTTTTATCCACCTAACTACTTGAGATAAATGTTTGTTTATCCTTGAATTAAATAAAAGAAGGCAGCCTGGGAGGAAGGAAGGAAGGAAAAGAAGAAGATACCTCTGTAATATATATTGGTCATTTACTTTATGCTATACTCTGCAGCCTTGGGGAATCTGTAGGTCAATATCTTCAATTCCTATGGTTATTTTATGTCTTGTCTCTAAATAATCTTGTATAGAAATTATGTACCTTTCTCTCTGTTTTTTTTTTAATTGTGAAAATACTGTACAGAGGGGTTACAATTACATGGGCAAGATAATGAGTACATTTTTTATCAAGCATTGTTGCCTCCTCCTTTGTTTCCCCTTCCCACCCTTTCCCATCTCCCACCTCCTCCCCGCCCCCTCCACACACACACAGCCAAAGTTGTAAAGTTAGTTTTTCGACAACGATTTGTACATTTTTCTGCTTTGAATGGTACATAACCCCTGTTCTCCTTTTCAGTAGGCTGGTCAACTGCCCAGCATGAGTTTTTTTCTCATAATATCCTTCTGTTTTCTGACATGCTGATTTTGGGAGAATTGGTCTCTAAACAAAAGGAGTTACTGGAATTGAGAAAAGCAGGGTATTAGAATTGTAGTGTTAAAAGTTTTGAAGTTATGAACATGCTTCTGGTTTGTGCTACCCAGATAGCAAAATTGAGTATAAATCAGTTTATCACCATGTATATTCTGGATATTGCACATGTTCTCTGTGATAGAGTAGACTGTCTCAGACACACTAAGTCTCTTAACTCAATCCCATTTGCTTATTTAATCAGTACCCAATCTATAAAATTTTATGTATGTATTAGTTTTGTTTTTTCCCTGTGTATACTCACAAGTATTTTAATTAGGATGTGACAAGAAGTATGTTTGGCATGTTATCTACCAGAGTTTTTTTTTCCCTTCTACCAGTGTTTTTTTTATCTATAGTTTTTTTTTGTTGTTGTTTTTAATTCCTTCTTTTTTTTTTTTTTTGAGAAAAAGAGCTTGATATGTAACTTAAGCTGACCTTGAACTCACAATTCTCAGGTTGCAGGAATATTTGTGAAGCTACTTACAATGTTGAAAGCTTTCTGGCCTCCTTGGTGCCTCATTTGTCTCATTCACCATTTTCCTGAATGCCCTCTGATCTCATGCATCAAGTAACCAGGAATCAAAGAATCATAGATTTATGAAGTTTAAATATAACTTGTATATTGTTTAGCCATTCTGTGTTAGCTTTCTAGTCTTATAAGCAAAATACTAAGATAAGTGAATTTTAAGAGGTAACGTTTATTTTGGCTCCCTATTCTAGATGGGACAGTCCATGTTCTGGGGGATCTGCTATAGGCCTCTAATAAGGCAGTACATTATGGTGGGGGAGTGTGGAAGAGCCAATAGCTGGCCTCATCACCAAAAGCCAAGAAAGGTAACAATATCCCAATAAGGATACAAACCCAGTGGCTTAACTTACTCCCACTAGGCCCTACCTCTTAAAGGTTACAGACACATGTTTCTTTGGGAGGCATTTAACATCCAAGGTACACACTGACAAATGTTTGGTAGGATAAAAATAGATACTAAATGTTTGAAACGCTCTTTGTAAATCTCAGGTAGCTTACTTAACGCTTTCTCATCTCCTTAATAAGTACAACTGTTAGATGCTGGACTGCTAGCCAAATTAGGCTGTAAGCTTAATTAGGCCAGGAGCTTAAACATGATCTCCAAGGGTTGCTAAACAAGAGAGGAATAAAAAGAATCTGATGATGGATATGTGATAGAGACTTTTTAATAGAGATTATTATATAATAATTACTCTTTGGTTCTTTGTAAGAGTAGATTGATAGTCTCTGATCTTGTTTGCAGTCTCTTACATCAGCTGGTAGTAATATACGGTGAGACTATGTATATAAACATCCTGTATATAAAATGGAACCCTTGTAGACATTGACCATGTACATATGTCATCCCTTACTGCCTCATTTAAAATAACATCTGTATAAATGCATAGATAGAACTTTTGAATTTCTTTTTCAATTGAAACTGAAAATTTGTTACCCACATTTTACAGGGGTTGAATTAAAGGTTGAGAAAATTCCAGTGAATTACTTGGCAACCTTTATATAACTGATTTTTTGGTAGTACTTTTATACATACCTTTTTTGTTTAGCAAATGTGAATTTAGGATGTTCAATTGCTTCACATATTTAAGTTTTAAGAGATCAGAAAAGATAACAAACCTGTGATCATGTACTACTTTACGTATTGAGTTATTCTATTTAAAAATATTTTCAGAGAAAATAAAAAGGTCAAGTGAACCAGACATTGGGTTATTTGGTTTAATTTTCTGGAAAATAGGATTGCCTTTATCAGATCACAGTGTCTCTCAGTCCTCATGCCTAGCTGACAGCTTGACATTGGCTGGTGCTGTGGTAGAGATGGGCTGGGGAAGTTGCTTTGTCAGCAAAATGGGCTGTAAACTGAGCTGGGCCAACTAGGGTCACCTCATCTTGACCTGCTGATCAGTGATGAGTTATGTCAGCATCAGAAAATGTGGCTACATGATTTCCCTTAATGCTAATTTTGGCTTAGAAAATAACATTTGAGGAAGGATTATGTAACATATAGTATCTTACTAGTCCACATGGACCACATACAATGCTCACTCAATAAAACAGTATAATGTGCCAGTATTTAGTAAAGAATATAAGCAGATTTGTTCACATGTGTTATAGAAGTCATTCTCATTTAGCTTTTTATCCTTAGGCACAGTCTCCTTTCCTAAATGCAATAGAGAAGTTGTTTTCCATTTAAATTCATATGTTGAGTGTAAATTTATATTTTGATATGTGAAAATAATTCTGCCACTTTTACCACATGATTTTTTATTAATTTATGTTTTACCACATGACTTGAGTTTGAAAGATTAAAGAAATTAATTTTGTCTGTACTTCTGAATCAACCAAGACAGTTAGAAATACAGTGGCCTTTTTCCCATATGAATATGTTTCCAGCAAAAGAATAGTCTGTTTATTTTAGATATTTTTCTTTTTTTAAATTTAATTTTATTGTCAAGGTGATGCACAGAGGGGTTACAATTCCATATGTAAGGTAATGAGTACATTGTTACCCCATCCCTTGTTTCTTCTGCCGCTTTTCCTCCCCGCCACTTCTCCCTTATCCCAAAGTTGTCAAGTTCATTTCCATCATATAGTCTTGTGAATATCTATGTTGCATTGGTTCACCCTTTGTCCTTTGTCTCACCTTTTTGTTATTCCCCTTCCCTTCCCCAATTCAGATAAACATATATAGAAGACACAGTCTTTTTCTTTTTACTCTAGATTTATTAATATAAATTTATTTTGTTTATTAACATAAAATAAATTTTACTTTAGATTTATTATTTCTATTTTGCTATTAAGGTAAAATAAAAATAATAATTCTATATATAAGAAGTACAAGTTGATGTTTCCATGTATATGTGTATATATATATATGTATATATATATGTGTATATATATATGTGTATATATATATATATATATGCATTGCAAAATGATCACTAAATTTGAGTGGTTCTATAAGGAAAAAAATAATAAAAAAAAACAAGATTAGCATTAAAAACCAATGAAAAGATCAGAACAGTAAATCTTTGTAGACACTGAGAATTTATTTGTAATTCATTTGACCACTGAATTTGACTCAAGTTTTTGATCAGTAAGTCACGAGAAATAAAGAAATGCACACATTTGTAGAAGCAGACTGTTTTGTTTGTTTAGCATGAATCTGCCCTTTGAATCAATTAGAATGTGTAAGTTTGTTTTAAGAGTTTGAACTCACTAAGTGAAATTTAGAGATTAATACTTAATTTTGATGGTTATTTCACTGATAGTTATTTCTTTTAAAACTTAATTATTTGAGTTAAACATCTCGAATGTGAAATTTTATTAGAGCAAGTTATGTGGAAGAGTAGAAATCCAAAGGTGTTTTAGCAGCTATGATTTTGAGGAGAGGAAGCCTCTTTTATTTGCAACTGGATTTAATTTTCTATTGCCATAGAAGTTTATTGTTCTCATTTTACTGATGTGAAAACAGTAGCTTAAGCAGTATGAGTTGTTTGTCCATGCTACATGGAACAACATTAAAAGTATTGATACCAGATTGCTAGAGTTCACATTTGGACTTGGGCTTTGTGACCTTGGTCAGCTTACATAATATTTTGTCATGATTTTTTTCATCTGCAAAATAGAAATGACAGAGTTATATCACTCACTTCTTGCAAGATGACAGAAATGCATTAAAGAGTTAAAAAGTGTTTAGCTTATAGTCATTGTTTAATGTTTGCTGTGTTTTTTATTTCATTATTTTTATAGTATCACAGTTTCGAATTGGAAATTATATTTGGCAATTTTGAATTTTTTCTTAATTCTTCATATAAATAAACTTTATTTGTTGTTTTAAACCTCCTGTCTTTAATAGTTACAAAGGGTTAGGCAATATTAAGTTTTCCGTCAAGAATTTTTATCAGAATGAGAGAATAGCAAAAGTAAAAGTTCCCATGTATTTTATGTATCTAGAGTTGATCTGTTGGTAAATATTGTTATGTTTTTGAAATTCCACTAAATACTTTGTGGTGAATAGAATATAGATAATATATATTTTGCTGACCTATATTCTAAGGCTGAAATTGAATTTTTTCAGATATCTCTCTTTTCTATTTCTATTTTGTAAAACTGAAGTATAAAAATGAATTTCCTGTGCCTAAATATCAAAGTTAATAAGACCTCAGATGTCTGAAGTCTCTTCTTTTAAAAAAAAATTCAACTGTTTTTTACTATCCAGCCTTAAAGACTAGATGAAGAACATTACAAGCTATTTTTTTTTTAAATGCTAGACTGTCAATATTATAGGTAGTGTTTGCTGGGTACTTGCACAATGTCTTGTGTTTTTGTTTCTTTCCAGCAATAAAAATATATGAAAAAGCTGCTCAAAAATGTCATTTTGGTGTAATATCTTCTCACTCATTTAAATAGCTTACATTTTAATGATTTTTTCCCCCCTAGCCATCCATCAAAAGCTAGAAGCAGATGGAACGGAAAAAGTAGAAGGATCCATGACACAGAAACTGGAGAATGTTCTGAATGGTAAGTTTTGTTCTCTACTCAAAACTATTTATGGACTTTATAATAAGCTTTAATATAGTTCTTGACCTTGATCTTACAAGATAAAGTAATAAATTGCATTTCAGTATTTATTTTTAAATAGTAATGATTCGGTGAGTGTGAAGGGGAGTAGAAACATTGAAAATGAATGTTTTGTTTCTGTTTACATTTTATTTATGAGAAACAATAACTTAAAAACAAGTTGTTATAATTCTTAACATGTTAAGAAATAAAATTTGCCGCTCTACAACATAGCCTCATCAAAGATAGCAAAACACTGAAGTAGCAACAACGATTGCCATTGACTAAAACCTGGAAAAAGCAGTCTGTAAGTTTGCACCAGTGATCAGTAAAGAGCTTAAGCACCATTTGCTTATTTACACATTGTATGTTCCAAAAAAGAATTAAGGCAACTGTCTATGAATGTGTCTTAACTCAGACATTGTTGTAGAAACCAATGTATGCCAGGAAACAGAAGCATGGGTTTTTATTTTGTTGTTGGTTGTGGTGGTGGTGGTATTTGTGCTTGCTTTTTTTCTTCTTCTGCTTTTTAGAGAGGGTAAAGGGGGGACAGGAAGGGAGGGAGAAAGGGTGAACAAGTGCAATGGTATTCAGTATATACTATGTGCAAAATGAACTATGCAACTTGTGGGCAGGGACAGGGGTGAGAAATGCGGGGGAAGTAAAAGAAGGGGTAACATTGTCCAAAGAGAAATGTACACATTACCTGAATTGGGAAATGGTAACCCCTCTGTGTAACACCTTAATAATACCAGTAAAATTATATTAAAATATTGATGTATGCAAAGTTTGAGATTCTGTTACACTCTCTTTTAATTCTTTTCTCTGACATCCTACTAATTTAAACTCATCAGATGAATTAGTCATTATTGTAATATTAGTGATGTAAAAGGAAGTGGTCCTGCTTTATACATGTAGTTCACATCTATTGTGAAGGAATAATGCCTACCTGAATCTCTTTGTTTTTAAATATGACAAAATGATTTCCTTATAAAGAAGGGTTGAGGAGAAAAAGAAACCTTAGATATATCTTTAAAGGTTCCATGAATGCAGGACTGTGGTATGAAGCTAATTTTGTGCTCTTAATTTATTTTAGTACCCTGAGCAGAATTTCTGACCTTTTTGGGATATCTGTTCACAAAAATCTGGGGAATTTCTAATAAGAAAATATTTTCTAGGAAAAAAACTTTAATTTGGTGTAGGCTTTTCTTGGTGTCAAAACTTGAATACTTATATTTCATATGAATTTAATAGCACTTAAAAGTATTTTCCTTTGATGATTACTGCTGTTGGTATTATTTGCCTTGAGATTTTGCTGTGTTTTGTTTTTGGTCAGTCATGGGCCTTGAACTCAGAGTCTGGGTGCTGTCCCTGAGCTTTTTCTGCTCAAGGCTAGCATTCTACCACTTTTGAGCCACAGCTCCATTTTCAGTTTTCTGGGGTCTAATTGGAAATAAAGAATCTCACAGACTTTCCTGCCAAGACTAGCTTTAAACAGTGATCCTCAGATCTCAACCTCCTAAGTAGCCAGAATTACAGGTCTGAGCCACCAGTAAGTACCTGGTTTGCTGTGTTTTTGAGAACCAAAAACCAATATACCAACTTTATTATAATGAACGTACTCTGAATTCTACTCAAATAACTATTTACTAATGGCTTTTATTGGTATAGTCAGACACTTTAAAGTTGTGGTAGGAGATTTCTTACCCAAGGATGGTTTTGTCATCCTATCACTGTATCTACAAAAATTGAGATTACTTCAGTAACTTTTAAAGTATGATTTGCAGGAATAGCTGATATAGTACATGTATCATTGTGCCAGTATAAGACATACTTGTTAATGTTTGGAAACTGTTAATGGCTCTTTTATACATTAGGCTTAGCATTATGTGGTAACATTTTTTAAAATATAGTTTGAGAAATCTTTCCTCAGGAATCATAGTATAAGATGTACAGGGGAAGTTGTTTTATTTATATTCTTTTCTAGAAATGTGACATACTAACTTTCCATTGAAGTTTATAACTCTTGAAAGTTGGGTTTGACTGCTTGCTATAAATGGTCACTTTATGAGACTATTGGGACTTTTAAATTGTAAAAAAAAAAATCCCTTATAATAGTTCACTTTTTCCAGATACATTCTTGTCATCATGATGCTGATGTTTGCTATCTTAGGATAAGGTTTTTCTAATCCAGGTCAGCTTGACAAGCATTTACTTAACCCATACTAAGTTCCAGCTGAGCCGCCCTGGGAGCTATGGCTAAAGTGGGTTGACTTCAGTGCATCAAGAATATCTTATGCCCTATGGGGAATCCTAGTTATCCAGAAATTCCAGTGCTGTAGAAATGAGAAATGCAGTGAATTGGTCATAAAATAATTATAGGACTGTTAACTGAATATTTACTTTCTTTACAAAAGGAACAAATGAGTGTGAATATAGTTTGCCTAGGTTATTATTAATGCTTTTATCTTAGCTATATGAATATACTAGTTTAAATCAAATTTAGTTTTTTTTAAAAATTTTTATTGTAAAGATACTATACAGAGGGTTACAGTTACATGAGTAAGGTAATAAGTACACTTCTTATTGAGCATTGTTACCTCCATTGTTTTCCCCCTACCATCCCCTCCCTCCCTCCCTTCCCTGAGGTTCTTTTTTTTTTTTTAAATTGTGATTAAGTGATTACATCAAATTTAGTTTTTTAAATGAATTTTTTATTTAGGCAGTCTTACAATTTTAAGCTAAGCTTCTAAAAGACAATAATGTTGGCCTTAAAAATCTTTGCTTATTTGTCTTATTCACAGTTTATCAGTAATGATACTTCTTAATACTGAAACTTTTTATTGAAATTGTTTTTTTTGTGTTTTCTTTGACTTACATTTTTATATGTTAAATATGATTGTTAGCTTTACTGGATTAAGAAAGTCTAAGAGATTAGTAGAAGATTAGTAAATCATACCTCTGAGATTGACTTTGTCTTTTTCTTTAGAATCTTTTTGTTTTAGGGTGTCTTTTATAAGTGTTTTAGGTATTATTCCTAAAGACTAAGAGAATTGGATCAGATATTACTAGAGACATGAGGATTCTGATGTAATAAATGGATTAACCTCTTGTATTAATAATATCCTGGCATTTGGGGAGGTAGTGAAAGTTAGGAAGTGAAGCCTAGTCAGTAAAAGTAAGTCACTGGGGTCATGTGCTTGGGACTGTATTGTACCCTTCCTGTGTCCCCTTCCTGTCTTATAAGCTGTTTCTGTGGGGTCTTTGATCACCAGTTATGAGAAAAGTAGCTAATACATGATTTCCCTTAAACATAATAATTCATTCTTGATTTCAAGCTACTAATAAGTCCTGCTATTATTAACATATTATCATACATATAACATATAGCAATATACAAAATATGATAATTATGTAACAGTATAATATGGTAATATTACTGATGGTATATATCAAACTCAAATAGGTAAGAATGCTATGTCCTTACCTATTCCAAATAGAATATATAGAACACTGCTATCTACTAGCCCTCTGGACTGATGAAGTGTAGCTATAGAGTGCTTCAAATGTGGCAAGGATAACTGAGGAACTGAATTTTTCTCCAAGTGCTGATGAATGTTGTGTTTGCTGGGCATGTTATCCACCACTGAGCTATTTCACCAACTTCAAATTTTAAAATTATACTTTTTAAATTAATTTAACTCTGTTAGTCAAATTTCTGTTGCTATGACAAAGTACCTGAGAATATCAACTTAAAAAGAAGGAAGACTTATTTTGGTTCATGAGTTCAGCTCCCAATTGTTTTGTGCCCTGTGTTAAGTTAGAACACATGGTGCACAAAGCTGCTCATCTCATGGTAGCTGGCAAGCAAAAAGAGAAAGGAAGGGCTTGGGATTCCTCCTATCACCTTTAAAAACATGCTCTCTAATGTTCTAACTTCCTTCTGTCAGACCCTACTAACTGAAAGGTTCCACAACTCCCGATTGTACTACAGGTTAGGGACCAAGTCTACAACATGAGCTTTTTGGGGTCACTCCAGATCTATACTATAGCATTATCTTTAGATTTCTGTTGCAGAAGGTGGCTAGAAGCTCCAAGGTTAGATAGTATAGAGGCAGATAGTGCAGTTGTGGGAATAATAGCTAAAATTCATGCATATTGTTCTATTGGTAGTCCTACGATGTACCTAGTTCCCACAGAAGAGGCACCTTACTGAAAAGGGAAGGACTAGGAATTTAGCTCAAGAACAAAGTGCTTGCTTTAGCAAGTGTGCAGTCCAGATTCCAAACCCAACACCATCAAACAAACAAGAAAAAGTGGAGTGGAAATAATAATGGGATAGTCATGTGCACTTTAAAAAGGTTGCACAATGTAGCCAGATAAGCAGAGATTGGCTGATGGCCAGTGTGAATGGACAGATATGTATGTGTCCTGCTGCGTGAGGGAGAAGACAGTTACCTCAGAGCGGGCACAAGGTGCACTGTAGGAATTTAGTATGGGAGTGATGTAACGATAGTTTTAAGGTGCACTCCACCATCTAGGCACAGAGGTGATAGAGTAGGCAGCACTAATATAAGCCAGAATGACAGGAAGGTAGAGAGACTAGCAGAGGAAGAACATTAAAGGGGTGAAGATGGCAGTATTTGGTCACTGGTTGGATATACAAAGTAAGAAAAAGGAAGTGGATTTTTGACCTCAAATGGACTAAGGAGGAGCAGGTTTGTTGTATGAAGAGAGGAGTAGAGAAGAAAGGCTAAGATTCCTGGGGGCCGTATCACTAAGTATCTTTCTGGATCTCACTACTTCCTTTCTGTGTTGCATAGCAAGTTAGAGTAGCCTGTATGTCAGTTGCTTCTACTATGAAATTGGAGTAAAACAGTGCCTGTCTTAATGGGACATACACATAAAGTCTTTGGAATAGCACCTAACATGAAGTGAGTGCTCAGTGTGTTAGCTCTTGTTACTGTATGTCTAGTGAAATTACTTCTAAGTACTAGTTTTAAGCTCATAGACACATCTTGAAATACAGATTTGGAAATCACCAGCATAGAGATGGTAGTTGAAGTAATAAGATCATGTGATTTATTCCAAGTGGTACTATGTATAATATTATAATAACAAGGTCAAAAACTATCAGTAAATCTGTGAAAAAGAGTCTGACTTCAGCTATTTTCTCTGTATTTTATGTAGAACTATAGGTTTCCAGTGTCAGGCATGGTGTTGTAAACAAGCATTATAAATACTGCCTATGATATAATTCATATAATAGCGTAGCAGCCTACCTAGTCATTTTATAGAATCTTCAAATGGAGACACAGATAACAGACTTTGATCTCTTCTTCTTCTTCTCTTCTCCTCTCCTCTCCTCTCTTTTCCTCTCTTCTCTCTTCTCTCCTTTCTCTTCCACACTGCCAGCTGCTCTACAATTGTCCTTGGTGTAAGGGTACGAGGAGGCACACGTGGGAATTTATACCTGATAATTGGATGCTGGCTGATAGCCTTATCTTTGCTTTCAGCCCCATATGGAAGAGTATTCGTCCCTGTAGCAGTTTTGTTTCTTTATTAGCAGCAAAAGAGAAAAAAGATAGGGTGCCTTTGTGAGCTGCTTGGTGATTTTTATCTGCTATGCAAATCTTGATTTCCCTGTTATTACTGGATACATCATCTAGTTATCAGTTATGAACTAGTTTTATTGTGAATGCAATAAAATTCACAACAGGATAATAATTTATTGGCAGGAATTGCTTATATAATTTCTCAATATAGCATAAATTAAAATTCTCAATATATAAAAGTATATTTCTATATAAATTAAATTAGAATTTTGTGTTTAGTAATTTCTACCTACAATTTTTTCTGTGGAATGTTTGTATTTTATTTAATTCTAAATAAAGTTTCTCTTTTAGTTACTTTCACACATTTTAGAGTAGTTAAAATATTAATTTGTAATTTTTATTACTTTAAAAAATAAGGTGAGAAAAGAACTAATTTTGAACTCATACTGTTTGCTTTCATTATATTAACTAAAGAAACTAAAGAAACATTTGGTGATTTAACACCTAAGTGTCACATATTAAAAGATTTAATTCATTTATGAAGCCTCAACTCATAAAGTTGATTTTTTTTAAATGATAGGTACTTTAAAGTAATTTTCCTTGAGGAAAGAAATCTTTAACTCTCTTCAGATTTTAGATATTCATTTAGCCTATATTATGTGGCATGGTGGTAGGAAGGAAATGTATTTTTCTTCATCTTGTAATAGAAATTTAGTATTCTACATGAAATAGAATGTGGTGAAAACAGCTATCTTGACCAAACAAAGTTTTTATATCAGGCCTTTAAAATTTCGACAGAACTTAAACATTATTTAGATAAAACAATCATGTTACAAAGACGCTTTTAACACGATCAGGCCACCCACAGTGTGGACCAGCGGATGTGGTGTACAAGCCACCCAGTGAGACTGAGGTAATTTTTTCATCTTTGCTTAAAGTATAGTCACTAGACCAGATAATGTAGAAACATTTTACAAGCAGTGATCAAACAGCTAAAAACAGTTTATCCTTTCTCTCTCCTTTCTTAGTAGCTAATTAAAAATATTTCACAAGTTGCAGAATTTAAACTGTTTTTGAATGTAGCAAAATTTGCTTTAGATAAACCAACTCTTATTACAGTGATCTGTATAATTTGAAGCCTTTTAGGAAAAACATTTATGAAATGTCCTATTCATGTATAATTTTGCCAGGACTGATTTAAGAAACATTAATGATGCTGCTATATTAAAGTGTGTCATTTAAAAAAATGGTTTATATAATTTTCTGTGCCCTTTTGAAGATATTTCTATCAAGGAGTAGGGTTACTTTTAAAATATTTTTTGAACATTTTTTTTCTGAAAATGTTTTTTTTTTTTCTATTTTGTTTGCTATTCCATCTGAAGATACTGGATCTGTGGAATTTTACTAGTGTATGTGTGTGCACAAACATGCATATGCATATGTTTTACCTCTTATTATCTGAAGTAATAAAATAACCTAAAGGTCCCATCTATTACTATAAAATTTAGAAAAGCAAAATAAATGTAGGTTCACAGTGTAGAATTTATTTGGACATGGTGAATATGGTTGTTTCTAATTGGATAGCATTTGTAACATAGCAGGCAAAATGAAACATTTAGTGTAGAATACTTTTATAGATAGTCCATCTAGCTAACTTTTAACACACAATCCATTGAGTTAATGGAAAGTCATAATAGAAATCTAACACATTTTCTGGTTAAAGTAAGCTTTTATCTAAGTTTCATCTTTTCCTTTTAAAATAGGAGCAAGTAATACTGCTGATGCATTATTTCAAGAAGTGCTAGGACGAAAGGACAAGGCAGATTCCACTAGAAATGCACTCAATGTACTTCAGCGATTTAAATTTCTCTTCAACTTACCTCTGAATATTGAAAGGAATATTCAAAAGGTAAAGTACTTATTTATGTCCATACAATGGTAAATGTTATAGATCTTGAAGATTTGTTAAGGTCATTTTTATTATTAACCAAATATTCATTATGCTTTACTGACAGTCTCTAAAATGTTTTTTTATTTTAAAGGGTGATTATGATGTGGTTATTAATGATTATGAAAAAGCCAAGTCACTCTTTGGGAAAACAGAGGTGCAAGTTTTCAAGAAATGTAAGATTTGTTTATTGCTCTTAGATCTTCTACTTTGCTTTTACAGGAAGAATGTGGAATGTGTTCTGTAAAGAATGTTATGTGTATTTTGGATTTTGTTTATATGGTATTCTCTTTAAAATGTAAAACAATTACTTCAAAAGTAACATGGGTTTCTTCCTGAAATGTAGTGAAAATGACTGATTATAATGCTTGGTCATTCTCATTCTGTGATGGTCATTAATAATGATGCAATTAAAAAAAAATCTTTCCTTTTTCACTGTAAAGAAGCAACAACAGTCTTCTAAGGACATGAAAACCTGCAGAGAGACCCAGTAGCTTTTGAACTTAATTCTAATAACAGAGTTACAGAAAGTAAAAGAAGCTTAACATGACTTGTAGCTAAAACCTTATCAACCAGGAGAAATATAACAAAGCCTATTAAAAAATGAAACCCATAAGGAAGCAGACACGTAATTTATTTCTTTACTGTGATCAAATGTATATGCAATGAAATGCACAGACCTTACATGTTACAGGTCATTGAATTCTGATGAATGCATATGTCTACATACATAGACGTGATGGTGTATTTGGATCACTTCATAAAGGTCCCTTGTGTCTCTTTTCAGAATGTAATCTCTGTTTTGCTTTCTGAAATTTGATTTAGAATTTCAATTCTGTAAATCTTATATATTCTTTTTTGGAAAAATAGATTATGCCGAAGTAGAAACACGAATTGAAGCTTTACGAGAATTACTTCTGGATAAATTGCTTGAGACTCCATCAACCTTACATGACCAAAAACGTTACATAAGGTAAAATTTAAAGAATTTTGATACATTACATATATGTGTTTGGTATTACTGGATTTGTAGTATAAGTCTTAAAGTTCATTTGGGGAAAATTAGGAGACTGATGAAATGGTGAAAGTGAAGAGAAATAGCAGTTTAAGGGAGTTTTGTGTAGGACATCAGGATTCTTCAGAATACTAATACATTACAACTAGTTATTGGGTACTCACTTTTTAAAAAACATTTCTTTTGTTATTATTATCTCTAAGTAATTTTACAAAGAAGTTCCCATTTTACAAAACAGTATATGAATACAAGGTGTCTGACAACATTGTCACCCATCACTCCTAATCCATCCCTTATCTCACTTTTCTTTTTTTTTTAAATTGAGATTAGGTGATTATGTAAATTTCACATATTTCACAGTATTGTGGAATAGTGATACTTAGTTAAAGTCACAAACACATTTTTACCTTCACAAGGCAAAATGTCATTATCAGGGTCTATAAAGTTTGTGAATTCTGTGAGCTTTGACATTCCGATTATTTCTTCCACATCAGGTGATATTTACATTTCTATCCTTTTGCTTAGTGTAAGCTGTTCCCTCTTACCCTCTCATTCCTCTCTTCCCATCGCTATCTTTGAGTTGCTTAGTTCTTTTTCATCCATGTTCAGTGCAGCTGATGGGTCCCTTTGTTGTATGTTGTTCCATCTCCCACTTATTCTGTGTTCTCCTCCTTGCTTTCCTCTGTTGTGTGCATATATATGCCATATATATGGTCAGGAACATGGATTCATTTAGCAATGATATGACAAAATGAGTGGCTGTCCTTTGTTTCTCGAGTCTTGTTTACTTTGTCATATCAACTTGCAATTTTGGCTTTAGCATCCACATACCAGGGAGACCATGTGCCATTTGTCTCTTTGTTCTTGGCTTACCTCACTCAAAATGATTTGCTCTAGTTCCATCTATTTCCCTGAAAATGCCATTATTTTGTCCTTTTTAATGGGTACATAATATTCCATTATATATTGGTACCACAATTTTTGGATCCACTCATCAGTATTGGGGCATCTGGGTTGTTTACATATCTTGGCTATTGTGAACAGTGCTGCAATAAACATGGAGGTGTATGTGTCCTTGTATACTGGTTCCTGTTGCTCAGAGTAGATGCCTAGGAGTGAGATGGCTGGGTCATAGGGGAAGTCTCTATGTAGCTTTCTGAGGTAGCTCCAGACTACTTTTCAAAGTGGTTATATTACTGTACATTCCCACCAGCAATGTAGTAGGGTTCTTCTTTCTCTGCATCTCACTTTTTAAAGGCAAGAAAATTCTGCCAATTTGGCCTAAGGAAAAGCAGATCCACTGCTTAGTCACTCTTTCCTTACTGCCTACTGGCTTACCTGTGGGGTGGTGCAGTGTCATTGTCTATAAGGCAAGGATTCTTGTTGGGTCAGAACACAGCACTATTGCACCCTGAGAAGCAATTTTTGCAGTAGAGAAAATTGTGAAAGGTTTTGTCCATGAGCGGCTATCTGATTTATAAACATGTAGTGATCAGTAAAAGAAAGTTTAGTGATATATGTATCATATCATTATGTATATCTATGTATATGTGTGTGTGTATATATATATATATGTATATATGTATACATATATATATATATATATATATATATATTGCTACATTTTTAAAATAGCAGTAACAGCCAGGCAGGCACAAGGGGCTCATTCCTGTAATCAGGAGGCTGAGATCTGAGGATTGCAGTTCAAAGCCAGTCCAGCAGGAAAGTCCATGAGACATTTATCTCAAACAACCAAAAAGGCAGAAGTTGGAGCTTTGGCTCAAGCGATAGAGTTCTAGCCTCCAGCAAAGAAGCTTAGAAACAATGCCCAGGCTCTCAAGTCCCCAAATTGGCACATACAAAAAGCAGTAACATTGCAGGGCATGCGAAGAACACCTTAGAAGGAAGTAGTACCTGTCTTACTCTGTTCCAGTTTCTCCATCTGCATATGACAACACAGGCTAAGTCTCTTGGTCATTGCAAAGGGAGAATACATTTAAGGACTGCCGTTGAATCAGTTGCCATATGTAATTACATATGTAAATTCATAAAGTTTAGAGATAGCATACATGGTAAGCTTTTTGTATGTAATTTTAAAAAGTATTAACTTTATTTTTAGCTAGCATATCTTAAGTTCTCAATAAATTTCTTCCCAAATTTAGTGACTTTTCTTTAATTAGGGAAGTTTTTCAAATAATCAGTAATTATAAAATTACAGTAGACTATTGATATTTGTACATTCAGTAATAGGATCTGGCCTGAAAGTTGCTATGTATACAGTTGTGGAGTTGGTGACAGATAGAGGGAATGAGAGATACTGTCTCTGACAGCAAATTGGTATACCAAATTGGTAGGCAGAGGCTTTTGCAGTGGCTTCAGTGAGAGTAGTATAGTTGATTGCTGTTGCTGCTGCTGCTGCTGTATGAAACTTGGGGTGGGGGACTGAAATCATTATGCAGGCTCCAGAAATTGAATCTTGCCTTTCACACACAGCTTGGGAAGACCCTCCTCTTAAAGCTTGTTTTGTTCTTCTTAGGCTGCCTGTGAAAGGAAGGGTATGCTGGTGGACTTGTAGAACTGCATGAGTTTACAGTGTAAGCAAGCTGTATAGCAGTTACCCAACTGCCTCATTTTGTACAGATAGAGTTCCAGGAAGATGGAACATTTGGTGTAGGTCTGTGTGGCAGATGTCTTGATCCTTGCTGTCTGTGTTCCTTTCTGTTGCCTCATTGGTTATGAGTTAGAGATTTACCTACCAACTCATTCCTTATATTAAGTTTGCCTACAACAATATGTTAATCCTTGCCAGGTATACAGCTCTTTATGGCTGGTTTGCCATCCTGTATGGATAACAAGGGTAAAGATCAGATTCTTGCTACATGCATTATTTCATCTAACTAAAGACTTCTTTGTAACACTATCTTGCTATAAAGGAACATTGTAACTTTAACTAAGAAGCAGAGCTCCTCTTAGTCCTTCCATATCAGTTTGGTCTTGTCCATGGAAATGTAAAAATCATCACAAGTATGACTGAAATTTAATTCTTAAATTCTAAAACAGTAAACCTATGTCTATCATTGTTTGCCTTGTTTTTTCCTCCAAAAAGCCTTTTATGTCATTTATAACTAAGTACCAATAACATATATTACATTTTGAACAATTTTTAAAATGAAAGTACCTAATTTTTTGAACTTCATTTTAAAAGTAAAGAAGAAACTCTGGAAGAAACTTGAACAAGATATGTTGTATTATAGAACTGACACATTGTCTAGAATTTCTGATAGGACTTTATCTTTCTTAAGGAAATACTTCAAATGTCCTTTAACCTAATATCCATAAATAAGATAATAGAAAGTTGATTATCCTTAAATTTTGCACAGACAATGATCAGTGTAATTGCAGGTATATTAAAAAGTTGTGAATCAAGCTTACTGATTTCTCTTGCTTCACTGCCAAAGAAAGCACTCATAAAGCCATCCACATTCCTATCCAGCAGTTTAAAAGTATTCTTTAAAAGAACATTCCTGTATTTTGCTAACATTATATCTGAGGATTATGTGAACCAAAGTCTTAGGAAAGAGTAATTGAAGGTAAAATAAACCTATTTAGGGGAGATTATTGAAACAAATTACCCCCAGCAAGAAAGATAGAGGAGCATACATTCTTTGGGAGGGAAAGACAAGTGATACTATTTGCTGCATTTGTATTCTAGATAGTAGGAAAGACTTGTATGAGGAAAACTGAGACAACATTTTGAGGCTTTGGAATGAATTCCTCATGCCATGTACTGTTTTTCTTAGAATGCTAGTCTCAATTCATAAGGAGTTGTCTTATGTGACTGCTTAGTACAAGGAAAGTCCTTCCTTTTAATTGACTTGTCATGTTTTCACCACTCAACTAAGGCCTGTCTGCAATCTGTAACAGTCACCAGAGGAGGAGAAAGGCCGTCCATGAAGTATGAACCATACTGTTTGGTTGCCCTTTGGCAGGTGATCAGAGGCCACACCCCTTTTGAAACAGGGCCTTATTAGCTTGTGGTGGTGTCAGTGTAGATCGTTCTTAGTGCTATGTTAGGTTTCTTCTCAACATTTTATTTGTTGCTAACTTACTACAAAATGGATTTGCTTCTCCTCTAATTATCCGTTAATTTAGATGTAATGAGTGGCCATTACTGAAGAAATGTGGGAAGGGTATCAGACATGCTCCTGAGTGATTGAGATTTGGCTAAGGTCACAGCTTGCAACCATTAATGAGTAATTACCATTGATCAAAAATTTAAACCTCAAGACAAAAGACAGCTTATAGTTAAGAATAATTTTAAGGTAATTCATTTGAACATACTTTTAGAGATTATTTCATTGGATTTAACTTGACATGTGGACATATTTTATGAGACCTAATGGCCAAATCTTGAATATTATTTGACAGAAGTTTTTCATTTGAAATAAATTTAAATTGTGTAGGTTTGATTGTTTTATGCAGAAAGACTTTAAATGTTGTAAGTCTATTTAAAAAGTAAGAAAACATAGCATCTTGAACATTTCAATGTTACAGTGGGTCAATCTGTATCTCTATTTAAACAATTCGTTTTTTTCCCTTCCCCTCCCCAAATTATACCAACATCAAATACTGTGAAAATAGGGGTTATACCATGGGAGAGGACATACAAAGCAACAAAAAAATTACATGGTACCTTATAAATACGTTAGAAACAATAGCAAGGAAGAAAAAAAATCTATGTTGAAAAATGAACTTTACAATTTAGGTAGGGGGGTGGAGGGATGGGAGTTGGGGATAGAGAGATATAGCTGAGGAGGTGGGAGGGTAGGGATGGTAGGGGAAAAACAAAAGAGGAGGCAACAATGCTGTATAAGAAATGTACTCATTACCTTGCTCATGTAACTGTAACCCCTTTGTACAGTATTTTCACAATAAAAAACTTAATTAAAAAAAGTAAGAAAACACCCATTCGCATTATGTCTTCTGGAGGAATATTTTCTCAGACCTGAATTAATTTACACTTTAGAAGTCAGTGCGTGTTGTTATCAAATCTGCTTATATACAGAAAGTGGACTTAAATTTCAGGAACCCATGATTAGGAAAACAGTGCCATACTGCCATCTAGTGGACTTTTCAAGCCAAATAGGAATTTTAAGTTGAAATTTTAAAAAAAACACCCATGTGCTGATGTCTCCCACCTGTTTAATGTAATAACTGCTAACCAAATGGAAACACTCTGTGAACTAAATGTAAATATAAAGAAAAATTTTCACCAAATTGGTAGGATCATTTGGTGGGATCATTGGTACAAGCATATTGTATTTTGAATTGTCTTTTATGCAAATATCTAATTTTTACAACATACAGGTTTGTTATCACAATTGTAAGAAAATATATGAATAAATTTCATTGATAATTAAGACTCATATTGGCAGGTTATTTACTAATTTATAATACTTTTTTTTTGAAAACTGGTACTTCATCCTTCTGCTATCATCTGTAACAAGCAGCCTGAACTTGCTTTTTCTCAGATATCTGTCTGACCTTCATGCACCGGGTGACCCTGCTTGGCAGTGTATTGGAGCCCAGCACAAGTGGACCCTTCAGCTCATGCACAGCTGCAAAGAGGGCTATGTGAAGGACCTGAAAGGCAAGGAATTCTTTTCTGACTTATATGTCATGTCAGTACACTTTAGGAATGTTCCTGATTTGCTTGATATCCATCACTGTCTTTTTTGTGGTTGTTTTTATTGTTCCTCTATTCTACTCTTTAGCTTTATACCCAAGAGTGAGTGATAGAAGAAAAAAAACTTTTTAATATATTAAGGTTTATGGTTGACCAGCAGGGTTGACAAAGGTTTATTTTAAGGAATGGTTACAACTTCATAGGAACATGATGCTGTAGGAATCATTGGTCTTCAGTGGATGTGAGTTTCAAATATTGTTTCATCAAATACATGTGGGGCCTCTGCTGTGTTCCAAGCAGTTGCCAAATGCTACATAGATAGCTGTGAATAAAACAGACACAAGGCCTGCCTCATGAACTTAGCAGAAGAAAGGAAAGATATTAAGCATGTAACTAACCAAATAAAGTTGAGATAGAGATAAAAAGAGAAACAATAGGATATTCTGAAAGGTAATTAAGTGAGGAGAATGTACTAGGGAACCTGTCTCAGGAAGGCTACATGTTAGCTAAGAACTAACTAGAAGTTGCTTCTTAGACAGGCTCCAGCCTAAGAAAGGGAGCTACCTGTGTAAAGGTCCCAAGGTAAATTTGAGGAAAGAAACTAAAGCTACATTTGCATTTAAGTTTATTGACTTTCATTTGTGTAATCCTGTCATTCAACAAATATCAAATATATTAAGTACCATTTTTACTCCAATCACTTAATTGTCAACACAATAAACAGGCACCTGGATTAGATGACACCATCTGACAACATAGAGGAAAAAGACAGGTAATTCAGTATTGTATTGGAGAACTGTATATATGCTGCTTTTTAAGGCTGGAGAAGTTCTGAACATTGTAGGAGCACTTAGAATCTGATTTAAGGTTTAGGATTAGGGAAAGTGGTGCTGAGATTGCAAGGTAGTGACATGTGTTTTAAGTATTGAAGACATCTGTGTTGGTCAGTTTAAACAAAGAAGGAAAGAGACCATTCCAGGAAGAATGCAGGGTTTTAAGCCACAGAAGACCACTTCTGTGTGAGGCAGGAATGTATGGCTGAGAGCATGATTATAGTTGAGGAGTTGAGGCAGCTGTTAGGATGTGCCAGATCTTCGTCCATAGGTTGTGGAAGAATGATAAAGGAAAAATCATTAGATTTCTTTTAAAGGATGATAAACAGGGAAGCCAGATAGGAGGCTGGCTTGGTAACTTTGGTACTTGACTGCTTGGAGGCAGTGGAAATGTGATATGTATGGGTTTCAAGGCTATTTAGAGGGTGAAATGGATTGGACTGGGTGCTGGAAGAATGGAGGAGAGGTGCATGGGGCCTCTCAGATGTGTTTGCCATGGTAGCTCATTACCATGTTGTGCCATTGAGTCAGGGAATTTAGGAGAGGAAAGTGGTTTCCCCATTGATTTGGACAGGTGGATTTGGAATTGCCTTCTGTGCGTGAAGAGATAACCAGTAGGTAGTTGTTTAAGAGTAAGAGGTTTGGGACCTTACAAGTTGATATATTCACTCAAGATTAAACAAGAGAGGGGGGGGAGGGAGAGAGGGTGGTGGCGGGGGGGGGGGGGGGAGGGAAGAGAAGAAGAAGCTGGGCACTGGGGCCGCACACCTGTAATTCTAGTTACTCAGGAAGCTGAGATCTGAGGATGGCCATTTAGAGCCAGCTCGGGCAGGACTTTCAACTCCAGTTGACTCTTATCTCCAATTAACCACCAGAAAACCTGAAGTAGTGCCATGTACAAAGTTATAGAGTGCTAGCCTTGAGCAAAAGGAGCTCAGGGACAGTGCCCAGGCCCTGTCTGCCCAGCTCCATGGCTGACAAAGAAATAGAGGAAAATCAAGGACAAAATCTTTAGGAGCCACAATGACAGTAGACGTCACAGTAGAAGGACGGCTGCAAAGGAGATGATAAAAGGGTAAGTATAGTGTAGGTGGGAAAGGAGAGCATAGTGCCATGAAGGCAGAGGAGAGAAAGAGTTATCATATAAGCTTTAAGATAAGCTAGATGAGTTGCTTCTAATTTCTGTTGCTTTTGATGCTGTTTTGCTACACATGGTGAATTCTATTAAAGGGATTTTGTGTGGACCTAATTAGTGACCTCTAAAATCATACATTGGAAGGGCGGGGATAATGCAGTCATAATATTCAATGTATATATGTGAAATGGAACTTGGAAAGTTGAGGAGATGAATGGGGTTGGGGAAGATAGGGAAGAATGATGAAAGGTGTGACACTGATCAAAATCCATTGTATTCAGCAACTGACATGTTGAATTGAAACCCCCTTTCTATAACTACTTAAAAGTAATTTGAAAAATAAATAGTATATCAAACACACACAGAATCAAACATTAAGTATAAGTAAATCTCTGCAGAGTGAAGACATTAAGAAGCTAGTGACCAGTGAGAAAGCATCCCACTGTCCTAGGAGGGACTTCAGGAAATACTAAGGAGGATCTAGGAGGACCTTTTCTCTTTCCACCAAAAGCTGTAGCTTTGTAGGACTTAACAGGGGCAGCATAACAGGGGCAGCATCGGAGACAGTCCACCAGCTTTCAGCTGATGCCACTTTTGTGTTGTGGTCTGACCCCTCTGCTTGATGACAGAGTATATGTTTGCTTGGCAGTCTCTGGTTTCCTTAAGTTAATTGTAGCTGCCTGTGGAATGCTTAAGCAATAAAAAGGTGAATAATATTTTACTTGTCAGAAATTGCTTAGGAAAAGTTTGTCCTCAAAAGATACTGCCTATATTTCATCTAATATTTTGTTGTTGTAAAGCCACATTGTTTTTTTAAAGGGTGTACTTAAGAGCCTAGTTTTGAAATGAAAGCTTGTTGCCTTTTAAATTCAAAGAAAGTATGTTTAAATTCTTTTATTATAATAACTGCATTTGGATTGTTAACACTGGAGAATAAAGTGCTACTAATTTTTTTTTTATTAAATAAATCCACTGATAGAGTAGAAGAACTGAGACAGTTTTGTGAAGTAAAACTATAAAGTAGATAGACTATAAGTATTTCCAGCAGGGAAAGAATTCTTGGTGCCTTAAAGCTCCTCTTTATGTATGAATCTAAGAAATTTTGATTAACATATAATTTTTAAAAAAAGATTTTACGTGGTAGTTTGGTCGAAATGGTAATTGTGGTCCTCAGAGGAAACTTTAGGAACAGAGGTGTTGATAGATTGTCAGAGGTGGTCATTCTACATACAAAGCTGCCTTTTTTCCAAGAAAGCTTCTTTTAGGTGAAGAATTCAGTATAGAGGGACCATAAGATGAGTATTCTGTCAGTACTGAGATAATCCCTTTTGTAGATTTTAGTTTTTGCTATAATAATATACAGGAATGCTAGCAGGTGGTACTCTTCAAGTTACAACCCAAGGATAGCCCCCAACTTCAACACACCTGGCCATCATTCCCAGATAGCCCTTGTTCCTTCTGTGCGGCCTGTCACTGTAGCCTGCATATGATCTTTCAGTTTTTCCACAGGAAGGAAAAGGAGGTGAAAAAACAAAAACAAGGATAAAATTAAAAGAAAACTTAAGAGTTTGACTGCTGTATTTTTCCGGCCTGAACTGTGTGACCATTTGCTTCCGATTGCCAGTATCTAAAACAGCCTACTCCCTGGCATCATTGCATATGTTAAACTTTTACCACCTTGTAAGAATTCTTCTTTCGAAATTCCTGTGAAATTAGTGTAAAGTTAAAGTAAGTTTTCAGGTTTCCTACAGGAAAAGCTTTTGGGTAACCCCCCCCACTGGCATTCTCAAACAAGATTTTTAAAGGTGGTCTTCGGAAGTGTCTTTTTCTTTGTTCTGAAAGTGGTTGGATCTAACTCTTTAGGTACTTGCTAGTTATGTCTGTTAACTTGATAGAAAAGTCACTAGTTTGTTCATAGAGTAGTTTTTCCTTTTAGGTACAGGCTTTAACTAGGACTTCCCTAAATGATGTTTAGAATTGGAGCCTTAGCTTACAAACTATCAAAAAAGTTTTTAAAAACCAAAAAGCAGCAGGAAATATACTTACTTATACAAGGCTTGGATTTTCTTTGAGAACTAGGAAATGGTATATCTGAATGGTTTATTCTGAATCATCATAGTGGACCTACTAAATATAGGCTATGCTAAATATATATCTTTTAGGGGGGGTTAGAGATGTAGCTCAGGGGTAGAGCAGGGTAGGCCCTGAGTTTGTTCCTAGTCACTGCAAACAATGTACCTTTTTATTAAATGATTTCACCGTTGATCAGATTGTTAAAGATTTGTTGAAAAAACAAAAAAGGTTTATGCTTCTTCAAGGACTCTAAAGTATAAAAAAATGTCACATTTTCACCTGAAATTCATAAACTATGTGCATAAATTCTTGCGGCTTATCTACAGTTTTGTGAATTTATGTAGTATCATTAAACTATATTTTTTTCTTGAACTTTAGCTATGACTTTTATGTATAGGTAGATTTCCTTGCAGTATCCATTTGGAAATTGACAGCAGATAAGTTGAATTTTCTTCAGAGTTATAAAAAATATTTTCATATTTAAATATACAGCGAAGTACATTGTAATATATGTTATATTTAATAAAATCATAATTTTTAGTTAAAATTGTAATGTAGTTTATACTAATAAGGCCCTTTTATGGAGTTTATTTTCTAGAGGTTAAAAAAATAGTTTATTTTCCAATGTTTATCACAACATGAAACCAGAATGACAGAGGTCTATTTAAAGAGAAGAAAAGGAAAAACACAGCTGCAGCAAGCACAGATATGAGGTAGTAGTTTGATTTCCATCTGTTCCTTGTAAGTCAGTCCCTTCCATGTTGGGTATGTAATCTTCATGCAACAGCCGCCTGGCTGACTTCTGGGGTTAGTACAGGGTCCCCTTTACTTTTCATGTTGAGACAAGAGGCTCTTTTTTAAATTGGTATTAGCAGATGACATACTTATTGGGACTTTACTTGCCTGCTTTATATACTATTTGG